AGTTTCTGGGCAAGTCCCAGATATGTAATAATTTCAATGTTGGGTCTTGTAATTACAGTGGATGTAGACTATTGCATGTCTGTTCAAAATGTTTTAGGGCACATGCTAAGACCATGTGTCCAAATAAAATGTATTCTAAGCCTTACCTTACGTCCATTAATATGCCAGTATTCACAGCATTGATGTCTCAGCACCCATCTAGACACCTGGTAGAATTTCTTATTTCTGGTTTAACAGAAGGCTTCCACACAGGTATCCTACACATACCAGCTGGCACTCTGGAATGCCCAAACCTACAATCCGCCCAACACAACCCCACAGTGGTTGACACCCTCATAAACCAAGAAGTGGAGGAGGGCTTTGTATTGGGGCCTTTTAGAACTCCTCCATTCACAGAATGGCGCACCAACCCTATTGGTATTGTCACAGGGAAATCTTCCCAAAAACAGAGACTCATCATTGACTTCTCGGCTCCCCACTCATCGGCCAACCCCAGTCTTAATTCCCTCATACCCTCTGAGGAATTCTCTCTGCAATACACCACCATAGATCACGCCATTACAGCCATCATACAAGCAGGGGTGGGAGCCTGGCTCAGTAAGACCGACATTACTAACGCCTTCAAATTACTCCCTATTCACCCCACACTGTGGCACCTGCATGGCATCAAGTGGTCCGAGAACTACTATTTTTTCTCCCGGTTAACTTTTGGGTCCAAAAGTAGCCCAGCTATTTTCGACACATTTGCCGAAGCACTATGCTGGTTACTATTGAACATAGCCGGATGCCCTACAGTATTACATTACTTGGGCGATTTCCTACTGGTCGAGGAGAATACTGCACCTCCCACTAGCCTCAAAGCTACCACTAAGCTGTTTGAGCAACTAGGTGTACCCATCTCCCCAAAGAAAACAGAAGGGCCAGACACGGTTATCACTTTTCTGGGTATCCAGTTAGACTCTGCCACAATGCAAACAAGCCTACCTTACGAAAAGATAGACAATATTCTCACTTACATAAACAACTACCTACAGCTCGGCACTTGCAACCGCAAAGAACTACAGTCCCTGCTGGGGTCACTAAATTTTGCAATGCGCATCATACCTCAAGGCCGCTCCTTTATTTCACGACTATTGCATCTTTTCCCACTTTTTCTACATGACACGCACAGGTTGTCCTTAGATGCCCAAACTACGGCAGATCTAAACATGTGGAAGAGGTTTTTAACCACTTGGAATGGTAAAAGTATGTTCCTCCCTCAATTGACTGAATCATCTCCTACCATTTGGTCAGATGCGGCATCTACCACTGGTTTTGCAGCAATTTTTGGGAGCGAATGGCTTTGGGGCAGCTGGCCTTCAGCAGTTCTGGATTTGGAAGGTTTTTCCACTACCTCAGCTCTTTTTGAGATCTACCCCATAGTGGCGGCTGCCGTAGCGTGGGGTCATTTATGGGCTAATACGCCAGTGCGTTGTTACTCAGACAACCAGGCGACCTGTCACATCATCAACAAGGTCGTTCCAAATCTCTTACGATTATGAGATTTCTGAGGAAACTCACTTGGTTGGCAGCTTGTCATAATTTCTTCCTATGTTGTTTCCATGTGCCAGGTGTATACAACACAGCTGCTGACAGTTTGTCTCGCTTTAAATTTCAGGAGTTTCATCAAGCACTCCCGTCAGCAGCACCCACAGCCACCATCACTCAACATTTCAACAACTCATACTGGACTAGACGTCATCATGCAGCATAGCAGGACATTGTCTCAGTTGGCACTTTCACACAATACAAACAAAACATACAACAGGGCTTTCACACTATTCAAACGATTCCTTCTGGAACATAACATCATACAACCGTTTGTTATGACATCTTTTTTTGGGGTTTGCTTCCTTTTGCCACCTTAAACTCAAATTGTCATATAACACCATCAAACTCTATCTCACTGGCATTCAACACCACATGCTCATCTTACACCCAAATAACAACAGTTTCATAGCCTCTCACCAAATTAAGACCATACTCAGAGGTATTCAAAAATCAGAACCCACACATTTGGCCCAGAGGCTACCCTTAGATAACCATATCTTCAAAGCTTTATCTAACCTACTCGACCTGAAACCGTTTGACACTAATACGAATTCTATCATCAAAACAGCAATATACATCGCTTTCTATGGATTTCTACGACCCAGAGAATTCACTACGACCTCCACGACCCAAACCACTCCATTCCTCCTCTATTCCCCCTTGACAAAACATATGGATCATTACATCCTGTCTTTACCTCACTCCAAAACCAGCCAGCACATACCTGTAAACATTCCGTACTATCCCACGCACAACAGATGGTGTCCCATCAAGGTTCTTGATGCCTACATACAGCACCATCACCTATAGCCCTCGCAACCGTTATTACAACTACAAGGTGCAGTACTCACCACTACAACCTTCATGACCTACGTCAGGTCCTTGCTCACACAACTGGGCCTCAACGCAAACAATTACTCAGGACACTCCTTTCGTATAGGAGTCGCGTCCACAGCCTCCAGTTTCAACGTCCCAACTCATGTTATCAAAACACTGGGGCGCTGGAAGTCATCCGCTTACTCACGGTACATACCGAACCCAGTACAAGAGTTAAGAGATGCTTTCATAAACATGTCTGGTTGATATATGTATTGGTGGTCTGTTAATAAATTGGATTACTTAATTTTTGCCCTCTTCTTTCTCAGGCCTACCTCATCGTCGGTTTCGGCACACCACAACCGACTTGCTCCTTTTATCATCCTACGCTTATTCATGGTATTTCACACTGTACTATCTTAAGCACCTAACACAAGTATTAAGGCAATTTGCCTGCATTTGTGGGAGGTGCTGGTTTTCTACACCGAGCCTACTTAAGGCACTCCCCTTGCCTGGCTCCTTACCGTTCGAGGTCAGCGTTGAATGACCCTCCCACCACACCACTTTTTAACATTTATTTTCCTTTCTATTTCTTTTCCTGGGTGGGCCCTCTTCTTTCTCAGGCCTACCTCATCGTCGGTTTCGGCACACACCACAACCGACTTGCTCCTTTTATCATCCTACGCTTATTCATGGTATTTCACACTCTACTATCTTAAGCACCTAACACAAATAAATATATATATATATATATATATATATATATATATATATACACACACACACACACACACACACATATATATATATATGTGTGTGTGTGAGCGAGGGTGCTGTCTGTCTGAGGGTGCTGTGTGTGTCTGGGGGTGCTGTGTGTTTGCTGTGTGTTTCTGGGAGTGCTGGGGGGCGCAGTGTGTGTCTGGGGGTGCATTGTGTGTCTGGGGGTGCTGTGTGTGTCTGGGGGTGATGTGTGTGTGAGTGTGATTTTTTAATTTAAATTATTATTTTATTTTTTTTATTAATAATAATAATTTTTTAAAAAGTTATATCCCCCCCCCCTCCCTTCTTACCTTTAGCCTGGGACAGGGGGAAACCGTTTTGCCTGGGACGGGGGGGAGCCGTTCTGCCATGGGAGAGCCATGCTGCCTGATCCCTGGTGGTCCTAGTGGTGAGCGTGAACTCTAGCCTGTAGGCTAGAGTTCACTCTCGCGAGATCTGAGCGTTGCCGCGGTAATCGAGGCAACTCTCAGAATCCCGCGAGAGGACCCGGCGGAGCTGCTGGATAGAGCTCCGCCGGTCCTCTCCTCCCTCCCTCACACCCCAGCAAGCGGCCGCCTGGAAGTGTCTCTGGGCCCCGTAAAGGGAGATCTTTGATCTCCCCACCGGCCCATGGAGGCACATAGCGCGGGCCGGCGTTCCTGTGATCTCCCCTGCCGGCCTCGGCCATCGCGGCCCACCTGGCATTTGCACGGTATGCCCGATGGCCAGTCCGGGCCTGGTTTCCAGCCCCACTCAGAGTAGAGTTAAAATGTTTTTTTTAACTTACCAAGGTACGTTTCACCTCTGATCTAGTCTCACCACTGCTGGCTCTGACTCCATGGCTGAGATCATCAATCTTGATGACCTCAGCCAATCCAATGCTTACATTTGCATAGTGTTCAGCGTCCCCATGCCAAGCATGGAAATGCAGAACATCGGTGCAGCATAGTGCAGTACTAAGACAGGAAGCATCCTCAGTGGCAGTCTGAGTTACTTCACCTAGGAGTGATTCTAGGGAGTAATTTTTTCTCTGTAAACATTGCTGAGCTTGCAGGGACACCAGAACCACTACATTGAGCTGTAGTGGTTCTGGTGACTGTAGTGTCTCTAAGTTGTCGTTGGGCAGAAGCACAGATTATCTGAAAAAAGCCAGTGTAAGTAACTATTGTGCGCCAAGTTCCAAGGCATCTCAAACAAAATAATACACAATAATCACAGGCAATCTTTCCTTTTACATTTGAGGGTCAAGCAGTGATCTGTTTTACTGGGGCTACCTGCCCGGCTTTTATGCAGGTCTCCCACCTGGTGGAAACTCCCCTGGGGGACCAGATGGACGACTGGGACACATATTGGACATTAACCAATTACAGACATACAGCTTTAAAGACTCCCACCATTACATGACAACCCTCCTCTCTATCCTGAAGATAATTGGGAAGTAATCCAATTATCTCCAAGGACAGAGGCAAAACTCCATTAGCCACATGTTAGCAAAAGACATAAAATTACACAAAAATATATAACTGTGCAGCTATTGCATAAAACAGGTACATTCAACATATCCCCAGATAGCTTAGATCCGAGCGCACATTATTACCGAATAGCGCTCAGATCACATACATACAGTTCAATCGCCATGGAGCCAAAGTCTTTCCCATAGTCTTTTGTTATACGAATGGGCTCCATGGCATAGCTATCTGGGGTAACACTGTTCACTCAGTCAATCTACCGAACGCCCAAGCAGAAAGGCACGAACAAGCCTTTCTAAAGGGGAAAAGAACAGCGTTTAACATGGGGCCATAGTCCAGAGGGAGCAGGCAAGCAACCAGGCTTCTCCAGTGCCCAGTGGTGAGGTTGGTTCCGCCACAATTTGCAAGAGAATCTGACAAAGTGCTCCTAATGTACCATAGGTATTTGGCAGGACGCCTTCTGATATGTCACTAGGTCACAGGTGCCAAATTGTGGCAGGCATGAAACCATATCCAAACTTACCTCTTGTACCACTATGGCATTTTAGATTTTGAGATAGGCAACCTTTGGCACTCCAGATGTTGTGGACTACATCCCCCATAATGCTCTTACACCCAAAATGCTGGCAAAGCATCATAGGAGGTGTAGCCCAAAACATCTGGAGTGCCGAAGGTTGCCTATGCCTGCGAATGTAAGCTTGTTTGAGCAGGGCCCTCAACACCTTCTTTTCCTGTGCGTCCAACTCGTCTTGTTGCAAATATTTGTCTGTTGTACAGCACTAGGAAATATGTTGGCGCTTTATAAATAATCACGCTACTGACACACTTCATTAATACAAGCAATATTTTCTGCATTATTGTAAAATCCCTAAATGTATTTACACCCCTCACAGAATTAGAGACCATAGTGAGGCATCACAAATTCCTTGTAGTGGGGCTCCCATTACATAGACTGTCAGCTCTAATCCATAGCCTTAGAAAATGTCCCTCCTTTAAAACCAGATTAAAAACTCAACTGGACAGTACATTTATTAAAAAATTAAATGTAATTCCATCACTTTATTTTAAAACCTTTATGACAGGGACTAGATATAAAGACTAGATTGTAAACTCATTGAGACAAGATATCCAAGAATGCCACTAGATTATAAGACCTTTGCACAATCTCCCATTCATCTTATTTGTAAGCAGTTGGTCCTTGTGTAGACAGCCTTTGTGCCTTCATCTAAGGAGAGACTATATTTAAGGAATACTATAATTAAAGTTAGACAAAAGAAGCAAAGTGAACTGTTTTGTGGTTTGCACATGATAAAATAACAGGCCCAGAATTCTGATTTTACAGCTTTGTTTAATATGTACATTTTTTGGAAATCATAAAAACCAATAAGCAATAAATATTTTTACAGCAACACAGTTCATATCACTCACAGAGTTAGCCAGCATTATTCCACCAGTAGTGAGACATTCCACCGTCAAAATATAAAAACGCAGAGATCTATGGGGAATTCCTTAAAAAAGTGAGCTGACAACCAACATGCTAAACCAGGGGGGTAAGCAACCTTCAGCACTCCAGATGCTGTGGACTACATCTCCCATAATGCTGGCAAAGCATCAGGAGGGGTGTAGTCCACAACATCTGCAGTTAACGAAGTTGGACTACAATAGTGGTAAACTAACGTAACAGAGATAACGGGAAAAATGTTTTTTGGCCTATAAGATGGTTGTCAACTCACTATTTAAGGAATAAAGCCCTTGTTAATACAGGTTAACAAAACAATCAGGTAAAAAATAGAAAATCCCATTGGGTATCATTTAGCGAAAGTCACTCAAAGTTTTCACCTATGACTGGGATCCCTTTAAGGCACAGAAGAATGATGCCTTCAGCGCCATTTTTATATTTGAAGCGTGCTTTGGTACACCCAATCAAACAAGAACAAATGCTAGGATGATTTAGGTCTAAAACACAAATCCGATGTAGAAAAATTTCAAAACAAACCCTCCATCACCACAGATCAGTTACTATAATACAACAGTATTGTACAATGCAGAATAAAAAAATAAAAAATAAAAAAAAAAACAAAGGATCGTGGGAAAGAATAGTCAACTTTCTGCACTCCAGCTTCTTGTGGATTGCAGCTCCCACAAGGTTAACAGAACATTATGGCTGGAGGGATAGAAGCAGCCTAATATGAACAGCAGGACAAAAAGCCGTTGAATAGTTTGCGGTTTACATTGTACACTGTATAGAACCATTTTACACAGTGCTCTAAACCAGGAGTGGAGATAGAGTGCGTGAAGATTTGTGGGAAATACTGACCCCTGCTGTTCAAAATAAAAATAGCCATTATTACTTTATAATTCAGCTTCTCCCCAGTAGAATTTTCAAGCTTAATTAAAATATTTTACATACACCCAAATATACATACAATAAAGGATTTAAGTCATTGAATTACATCTTGCTTTCCCAGCACAAAAAAAATAAATAAAAAACGGAAGCAGTTTACGTGATTTGTAAGTAGTAATATAGTTATTCCTCATTGTAATGAGAAACATTAATGATAACCACAGTTAAAGGTTAGGATTTGGACAAAACCAATGTTGCGAATTATAAATCTTATCTTCTTTAGGGAACATGAAACTTAATACATCTACTGCCTTTTATTAACAATACAATGTACATGCCTTGATACATGGTTTTCTAGGATTTGCCATCATTGCCACGAGCTTTAAAAGCCAGATGCCTGCACCATAACATTGCTAATTAAAGATGTTCAACTTCGTTTTAAAAGATTGATCAGGTTACTCAATATTACTCTGGGCATAATTTTACGTGAATTTTAAAATTGAAAATCCATGCTGGATTTCACCCATTTTATTATACATAGATTATATAATATATAAATAATCAAGACTCGAACAGGTAGAAACGTTGATTTATATTTTGCACAGTTATTTGATGGAAATACAACAAACAACTTTTTTTTTTTTTCAGACCTGGAGTGCTCCCTATTACTATATATATATATATAAATAAATATATATATTTTAATTTTAACACATTTAAAAAAAAAAAAAAAATAAATCTAAAAATAAATAAAAGATCCTAATTTTTTTAGTTACTGCAATTGCTACAGACATTCAAGATATGCACTTTCGAGAGCTAAACAAAACAGGAAGGTTGTCTTATGTAACTGCGTTTCTGGGAGTTGTAGTTCAAACGTCAGCTTCCTACATGGAAAACCCTATGGCTCAACTAGAAAGTCATAGCATCCTGATTGGCAGGTGGTCATGGAGTAAAAATGGGAAACACTGCAGTTTGGGAGGGAGAGGAAAAGGAGCATAAGGATTTTTTTTTTTTTTAAACATCAAAGTCTTCTCGACTTTGTTAACATCGAAGACTAAGTATTTTTCACCTTGGTACTCCATCCTGTTATACTACAATTCACAAGATTCTTGGAATAGTAATCCATTTACTACTGTAGAACCAAAAATTATACAGCTAGACCCAACATATTAAATAAATTCCTGGCATAAAAACAATTGATACGTATCCATTGCACACACAATGCTTACTCTAGTAGCACAATGTTCTGTTACCAATGATCATTGCACGTTAAACATTATGGAGGAATATATTGAGATGGCAGATAAGGGCAGATGTACCATCCTTGTGTATAGACTTTCAGGATATCCACAGTCTTCTGGAAGGGAATCAAAATAGCTACAAAAGATGTAGAACAGCAGACAAAACAGACTGCAGAAGGTATAGTGCAATAGGAAAACATACTCACAAAAGTGATACAGCAGGGACCACAACTGGAGCCACCAACTATACTCAAACATGTAGTAGTCTTTAGAGATATATTTACCACGTAATGCTGTCATAGTATTGTGTAGTGGGAGATTAATGCCACCTCTATACCATGTGCCTAAAACAGCAGGGTTTGACCTAACTCCTTGCCAAACCGCCATTTCCCAGGCTAGGTGCTTTTCCTTCAGTTATGGATGATATTAGTGAGATCTCTTGAAATATGTGGAGTCAGAAATAGGGACCCGATTACAGTCCAACAAATCATATCAAGAAGCAGCTCAGCAAAGTCTTCAGATGGACTATATATTCACCGACATGAAAACAAAGACTCACCACGAGCAGACAGGTCCATCATGCAGAGCATAGGACAATATCAGCAAGAGTGAGGGGAGGACAATACCAAGTGGTTAAAATATTTAAAAACAAAAACTAGAAAAGGATAAACTGCAAAATCCAAGTGTTTCCAGCAGCAGAATGTTTGCAGATACAATACCAGTAGAAAGAGGAGAAAGTTAGGAAATAGAATGTTCTGATAACACTTGTTCATCGTCTCCCTTCTTTGACCTGTAGTTTAAAGTAGAATGTAGACAGTTGTAGGGGAAAAAAACAACTCCAGGCTGTCAAACATCATAGTCGGGAAGGTAGCTGTAAGCTGGACCTCCTGAGGTTGGGGGACTGTTACATGGGAAAAACCAGCAGATGGCATAACCTGAAAAAAGAAGGAGAAGAAAAAATAAATCAAATATGCAACAAAAAAATTGCTCCAGCTTTAGCGGTGCCCATTAACCAGATGATCAGGCTCTTAGATGTGCCCTTATTATTATTATTTTTTTACCAGAATAGGTACAAAATGTTATCATAGGACAGTCGCTACAAAGCTATGGCCCAGCTATGAGGCAGAGAGGCTCACCTCTGCCAAACACTTCCCGGAGCAGAGCCATCTTCGGTTTGCGAGTGTGAGTGACCTCTTTACGTGCTTCTTTTAAGAGTCGATTCCTCAGCTGCTCGATGGGAGTCTCATCATTAATGATGGACACGATCTTGAAAAAAAACAAAAGCAATAAAGTAGGTGAACATTAAAGGTCTGTAATGTAAGATATGGAAGAGTTTGATTACAAGGTGCCCAGAGGGAAGGTTAGTTGTTGCTTGGGCATATTCCGATCCAGCTTTGAATAACATTCTCTACAAACCGATTAGTCACCAAGCTACTGAATTTAGCTCCAAAAGTAGCTTGAGATATAAAATATAACACCCCCTAAGAATTATCATATCAAGAGTCAGGATCTGTGATTAGTTCTGTATGTTATTAGCGTAATATACCATTTTTTTACTATAGAAGTCTCAGACTGCATTGAAATGTATTTAGCCAAGCCTCAAATAAAAATATGGATTCTGATAAAGCATAATAACAATAATGATAATAGCACAGTTAGCCAAGAAGGGGGCAGTCAGCTTTCAATAGTAACTTCCATGCCCTGGGATGTGTATGAAATCTATTACCCATCTAAATAGTATTCATTTTATTGACCTTACAAGAATGAAAACCTGAGATTGCCCTGTATGTATCTGCAGATTCAAAACGTACTGGTTATAGACTTGGAGTTCTGACCACTATGTTTTTCATGGCCATTTCAAATTAGCAAGTTCTGTCTTATTTTATCACAATAATAATTATGCTCATTCGCGAAATAATGAATTACCTACCTGATCATAAAAAATAACGGTGACGAAAAGGCCGAAGAGGGCAGATTCTATGAGTAGGAGGATGCAGTGGGCTCTGAAAGGCAAATACATTTTAAAATTATGGGAATGGCGAATTTAAAATCTTCTTCAAATTGGATAGGGCCAGAGATTTATGGGAAAGTTAGCTCAAAACCCACTTGATGATCAAAAGTCCCTTTGGTTTTTAATGTCATAAGTAGAGTAACATATTACTCCTAAAGAGAAGTATATTAAAGTACATTACTCAAAAAAAACTGGAGTACATTTTTTTTCTTTTTTTTTTTTTTTTACAAATCTGGATTTTTACTTGTTAATTCTTTGTTTAATTAATTGTAAATAATTTTTAAAAACACCTAAAATACACAGATTTAAATGGTATTTTGCTTGCCTTTGAATTTGGCAACGTTATTGCAATTATTATACATGAAGAAAGTTTAATGTCACTAAAGGGTTACTTAATTAACCCCATGTATGATGGACTAATTTAAAGAGTCGTGTGATGAATCACGTAATGGGAACGAGATTTAAAGGTCAGTGACGGAAACATTGCCATAGTCTGTGCACTAAACTACACCATCTGTTCAAAGTGCTGGAGTCTTGGATTTTTTTTTTTTTTAATAGAATTTACAAATATTGGACTCTGCAACTCAGCACATAAACACGGCTGCATGCTCTATTAAAACTATCAATGGTTAGTTGTAAATGTGTAGCCTCTTCTGCAGTCTGTAACCATTCCACTCTTACAGCTGCACGTGGTTAAGATGCACAGCTTCCTTGTCTGATTCATCCACTGTTGATCTCTTTGGGGGCCACAGCCATGTGACAATGACTAAGCCCATAGCGTAGAGACTTGCCAGTCCTGCAAAAAAAAAAATAGTTCTTTATTCTGTTTATTGTTAGACAATGACGAAAAATATTCAGTAAATGCTTTTTTTTGTACAATGGCATAACAACGCAATAGTATTGTGCAATATTTTAAAGCAGCAATGGAGATGATAAATATTGCAAATTTCACATAGCGATATTTTTATAGCTTTTTAAATGGTGAAAGGCATAAGTAGCACAGTGAGATCGAATAAGGACATTAACCTACGCACTGGCTGTGTGTCAACCTAAAGAAATATTAAACACAGGGAAGCATCCCGCAATCAGCAGGACAACAACATAAATCAGTGTGTAAACACCACTGGAAGGCTCAATGTCCAGCCAGGTGATAATACAATCAGCAAATATGCAGGCTAGGCAAGATCGAAGTGTTTTCACAGGAGTCACTCCAGAAAGCAAGTTGTACAGGCTCTGCAGAATGCCAGTGCCAGCCCCTGACCACATTTAGGAGCCAACACCTTTTCCTTTGTGGACCCAGAAGACAGTACTGCTCCAGTCCACCCCCATTGGAAGTCTGCAACAGTACCTGGGACAAATCCAGCATTTTGCGGTCTCTTCCTTGGTCTCCCTCTGCAGGCATTGGCTGTGTGTTGTGGGCTTTACTCAGATGGCTCTTGGCCCAAGTGGGCTTTGATTTGGATGCACACTATTGCATTTGTTATGGCTGCCCAGCAGGGATCCGATCCTCCTTCAAACCGAATCCTCTCTCCTTTCTATGGGTTAGTAACCTGCTTTGTTTGGTCTGGGCACAAGAACAATCCCCCCAGAAACCTTTCACAAATGATGTTGAAGGTTGCTAAGATTTCAGCCAATGGTAGGCTGTATTGCGAAGCCCTTGGCCTTGCAGCCATCTTGGAAAAGTCCACCGATGGCCTGCTGCATCACCGCGTACCTTGCTTCCAGTATGGGCAACCAACCTCTTCTGTGGGGACCGGGATAACAAATAGTGGTGGGGAGCAGGGGACTCGCAATTCGTGTCCCCAGCTCGAATCGTATGTATACAAATATACTGCTTGAATTTGCAGGTATATGTTGTGACAAAAGTACTCCTTTCCCTAGGTACCTTGTCCTTGGGGTGTTACAGTCTTTTCAGACTTTAGAGACACTTCACACGCTGGATGAGGTAAAAGGACTTGCTCTTTTTATTGTGGCTCCAAAATGGATGCACAGTAAGGTTTAAAAGGTTGTAACAAAATATATAAAACAAAATCCTTGCTCTTCTGAGTACGAACTAAACAAAATAATTAGCTAACTGGGTTGGATGGCTTGTCCATTTCCCAACATAAACAACCACCTTACTGTTTCAGCTCTCTGTTTCCACTCACATAAATCGAACACAATCTCTCTCCTCCTTTGGCAGGGGAGTACTTAATAGCACCTGTAATTAGCAATCCTTTTCAGGTGAGGTAAATTAGGATTGAAACTCTGGAAATTGACTTCTCACCTGTAGGTTCCAAGCAACTTCCAAAATGTGGAGTGGAGCACTGGCCCACCCTACTCTCCAAGCGCTCCACCCCAGGGCCCAAATATACACATATTTAAAGTGCAATATTCATTTTAACATAACACATTTCCCTGGGGCTAATTACACAAAGTAGGAACCTTGCAAAATCTGGGGAGATATATAGATTCCCTCCAGCACAATTCCTTGCTTTCGGTCACAATGTATACACACACACACACACACAATTAATTTGTTGTTTGTTTTTAAAAGCAAACATGATTTTTTTTTTTGTCACACTCTGAATAGTCATGGATCCACAAAATAGGTTTTGTTCTCACACTGGATGGATATTAATCTTGGCAACGTACAAATATATTGCTGGCAATAAGAAGCACAGAGTGATCACATGCAATGAATGGACGTACCAGTGTAAAAGAGGAACTGGATGAAGTATTTCTGGTTCAGCTCCCCTACACAGTTATTAATCCTATTAGGAGACGAAATTCAAACGACATAATCAGAAACAGGAATTAAAGCTCAATGTCGCATATTTCACTAAAATTCCAATATAAGTTTATTTTTTATAAATAAAGATATTAGACAATGTAGATACTACTTTAACTTATGGGCACTGCCGATGTTGACAAAAGGAGGAATTTTACATGGTTAACACGTGTCGTTTCAAGCTGAAAATGGACTACAGAACAAAGTAGAATGGAAGAAATGATAAATTTCCAGGAACGCCGGAGATAAAGGCAGTCTTTTAGTAGAAGAAAAAAAAAAAAAAGTGGAGACAATGTTTCCGCTCTCTTCTGATCCTTTATCAAGGACTTGGTAAAGGCTCAGAGAGGAACCAAAACGTTGTCTCCACTTTTTTTTTTCTCCTTGTTTCTAATAAAAGTCTGCCTTTTAGAAGAAACCTCGGGTGTACCTGGAAAAGTATCTTGATGTCTCCAGGGATTGGCCCTTCCTTTCTGAAGCACCCTGCAGGAAGTATTTAACCATTTTAGTGTGTACGTTATACTCTTGTTTACTAGGAAATCCAGAATGAAGTAGTCCCTACTCTGACTTATAAGAGATTTTAATTGCATTGATTCTATTTTTATGAAATATTTAAAAGTGCAGAGCCACTTTAACATTATGATTCATTGAATCACTTACTGATTTAGTGAGAGCTTAATGCAGAAGCAGCTACACAGCCGCCAAGTTCTAAAAGGAACACTCCAAGCACCATAACCACCACACCTCGCCATTATAGTAAAACTTTTATGGTGCTGCCGACGCAGCTCCTGCTTCCAGTTTTCTCTTGCAGGAGAATCTAGTTAAATTCTAGGCAGGGGCATGCATGTCAGTACTCATTGAACAGGGTCCTGTATTGACTTTAGAAGAAGAAGACTGCATGTGGTGCAGGCGCCTAGGTAAGTTTTGAAATCAAATTTGAAATCTGAGATCTTGTAGTGGAACAGCTTCAGGGAATCCCTGGCATAAGAATCAATACTAGCTGTGTGGTTATGGTGCATGGAGTGTTTCCTTCAACTGCATCAAAAAAACCTATGTACAGTAAGACAGTGAATGATGTATGACTAGGCAAGACACTCAACTAACGTACCAGGGACAGTGGTGATCCATACGCCGAATGCAGCGGTGGCAAATTCGACAATGGTGTGCACGAGGGGGTCGGTACGTCTCGCAGCGGTTACACACTGTCCAGTCCTCATTTCCCTGTGAATACCCACCAAAAATGCTTTGTTTAATGCAAGTATGTAATAATTAGCATTATAAAGCTAAAATTAAAAACAACCGACAAAAGATAACACATTGCTCACGTTTCCCATGACTGGCGGTAAAATCAGCACCTCTTACCCTGTCACTTTTGCGTGGTGTGTTAGAACGGAGGTCTGAAAAATCAATGGCTGTATCTGGTAATGGGACAGTACCTGCGGAAAACAAAGTTAAATCAAAAGCTCAGCCAAGAGAAATTTTTTTATAAAATTACATATCACAAGTGAAAACATAAGCTATGTAACAAGTCCTTATGTTAGTGCAGTCATACTGTGAAGCTCCTTTATATCGTGAATTAAGTTTACATTCTAGAGTGAAGATTTACAGTTATTGAAGACACACTGTAAAGTGTAATAACTTTTTACATCTGTAGTTAACTAAATGTAAGAATGTCTGTAATAATAATAATAACAAAGTGTTTAACCAGGAAAGGTACATTCAGATTACTCTGACCTTAGTTTTCAAGGTTCAGAGAGGAGCCAAAACTTAGTTTAGCCCAACATCCAGGGGTTATTACTATTACCATCCTCGGGATGTTACCTTAACCCCAATTTAATGGTATTCATTTTATCTACCTCGGAAGGATGAAGTGCTGAGTCAACCATGCCAGGATTTGAACCTAAGACCCAAGGGTTGAACAGATTCCACTGATAATGCATTAGCCCACTGAGCTATCTCACTGGCATGTCTGTAGCATGACCTAACATATCAACTGTCTAGTGCTAGAAAGAGCCCCTACGTATTTCTCACCACAGAATGTTAATCAATAAAGATACATTCATAGGCACATACTGTGTGAGCCCTGATGGGGTTTATGACCCATTTGGCAAGCGCCACTATTTGATAAAGTCATTTATCATTGCTTGGTCTGTCCGGTATTCTAGGTAAAATGCAGAAGAATGAAAATACAAAAGTTAGAGAGGGAGACATCTGTAGCTATCATTGCATTTCAAACAGAAATAACTGTACTCGTGATTGTAACATGTTCAATCTCATAATACAAAAAAAAGCCAGTAATTTAGAGGTCCTTCATGTTGTGATTGGCATTTACCTGGGTCAGAGAACACAGCTCTTGTGTGGCATGCCAGCAGCATAAACACTACCACGTTGAATCCAGCAGCATGAACAGGACACCAGAAACTAAATAAAGGGGAAATGGAATGTTGGTCAAACTCATGGAACTCATGTGAAAAGCACTGGAATGCGGTGTCAATCTATCTCAGTATACTCCTAAAAAGAAAAATAGAATTATTATATCAGCTACATCCCCATTTTCTTTCCACGTTGCCCCCAAACTGAACCCCTTGTTATAATTTTAGTGCAGACATGTGACCAAAATATGTGCAGAAATGCTTTACACTTTCCTCTCCTTTTATAACAGCATAATGGCTTAAACCACCTTTCCTTATTACTCATCCATAATGTTTGAAGCTAGTTTAAACCTTTCCTTTACGTTCTTACTCTATAAACACCAAAATTGGCTCATCGTGTCTTTCAAGCGTAATTGAACCCATTTTACAGCTCTTTAAACCAGTGAAATGTTATTAAACTACCTCGTTCCCCTTCTAGAACATCTTAAATCCCATGGAAATCACTGACACTCTCCTGTAACAGTCACACTTCAAACACTAATACACCTTTGTAACTTTCCAAATTCAATTTCACCGTGAAATTCCAAACAACATAACAGTCCTCTACAAATGGAACACGATTATCTTACTACAAAATCTAAAGCTTCATTCGCTTGTCCTGTCATTATAACCTGGCAAACTCCATGCTACCCTCTCTGTCCCTCTTATATCCAATAACAGCCCTTTAACCCTTTCTTTTTCCTCATATAAGCCCTTTAACCCTTTCCTCCCCTCCTTTAAAACATTCTCTATTTCTTCTATTACATCTATTTCTCTCATAATCTAATGGATAATTTAATCATATCCTCTCCTATAATCTTTAGGGGGTTCTCTTTAATTATCCTATTTCATCCTACAACATGTAAGACTCCCTTTAACCCTCCCCCCACCCTCCTTCAACCTGTCAGACTCCCTTTTATTACCCCCCCCCCCTTCAACCTGTCAGACTCCCTTTAACCCCCTCCTTCAACCTGTCAGACTCCCTTTAGCCCCTCCTTCAACCTGTCAGACTCCCTTTAACCCCCCCCTCCTTCAACCTGTCAGACTCCCTTTAACCATCCCCTTCCCTCTTACAAACCTGCCATGCTACCATTAACCCTTCTATCCTACAACTTGTCAGACTCCCTTTAACTCCCTCCTTCAACCTGTCATTTTCCATTAACCCTCTCCTTCCCTCTGACAAACCTGCCATGCTCCCTTTAACCCTTCCCTTCCATTCTACAACGTGTTAGACTCCATTTAATCCCTTCCTTCAACATATGACTCCCTTTAACCGCCCTGCTTCAACCTGTCAGACTCCCTTTAAGCCTCTCCTTCCCTCTGACAAACCTGTCAGGCTTCCTTTAACCCTTCCCTTCCATCCTACAACCTGTCATGTTCCATTAACCCTCTCCTTCCCTCTGACAAACCTGTCAGGCTTCCTTTAACCCTTCCCTTCCATCCTACAACCTGTCATGTTCCATTAACCCTCTCCTTCCCTCTGACAAACCTGTCAGGCTTCCTTTAACCCTTCCCTTCCATCCTACAACCTGTCATGTTCCATTAACCCTCTCCTTCCCTCTGACAAACCTGTCAGGCTTCCTTTAACCCTTCCCTTCCATCCTACAATGTGTCAGACTCCCTTTAACCTCTCCCTTCCATCCTACAATTTGTCAGACTCCCTCTAACTCCCTCCTTCAACCTGTCAGACTCCTTCCTCTATATAGCAAACACGATCCCCATTAACCCTCTCCTTCCTCTATATAGCCAATAAGATCCCCATTAACCCTCTCCTTCCTCTATATATCCAATAAGATCCCCATTAACCCTCTCCTTCCCCTATGTAGCCAATAAGATCCCCATTAACCCTCTCCTTCCTCTATGTAGCCGATAAGATCCCCATTAACCCTCTCCTTCCCTCTATATAGCCAATAAAATCCCCATTAACCCTCTCCTTCCCTCTATATAGCCAATAAGATCCCCATTTACCCTCTCCTTCCCTCTATATAGCCAATAAGATTCCCATTAACCCTCTCCTTCCCTCTATATAGCCAATAAAATCCCCATTAACCCTCTCCTTCCCTCTATATAGCCAATAAGATCCCCATTAACCCTCTCCTTCCCTCTATATAGCCAATAAGATCCCCATTAACCCTCTCCTTCCCTCTATATAGCCAATAGGATTCCCATTAACCCTCTCCTTCCCTCTATATAGCCAATAAGATTCCCACTAACCCTCTCCTTCCCTCTATATAGCCAATAAGATCCCCATTAACCCTCTCCTTCCTCTATATAGCCATTAACCCTCTCCTTCCCTCTATATAGCCAATAAGATCCCCATTAACCCTCTCCTTCCCTCTATATAGCCAATAAGATCCCCATTAACCCCCTCCTCCCTCTATATAGCCAATAAGATCCCCATTAACCCCCTCCTCCCTCTATATAGCCAATAAGATCCCCATTAACCCTCTCCTTCCTCTATATAGCCAATAAGATCCCCATTAACCATCTCATTCCTCTATATAGCCAATAAGATCCCCATTAACCCTCTCCTCCCTCTATATAGCCAATAAGATCCCCATTAACCCTCTCCTTCCTCTATATAGCCAATAAGATCCCCATTAACCCTCTCCTCCCTCTATATAGCCAATAAGATCCCCATTAAACCTCTCCTTCCTCTATATAGCCAATAAGATCCCCATTAACCCTCTCCTTCCTCTATATAGCCAATAAGATCCCCATTAACCCTCTCCTTCCTCTATATAGCCAATAAGATCCCCATTAACCCTCTCCTTCCTCTATATAGCCAATAAGATCCCCATTAACCCTCTCCTCCCTCTATACAGCCAATAAGATCCATATTAACCCTCTCCTTCCCCTATGTAGCCAATAAGATCCCCATTAACCCTCTCCTACCTCTATATAGCCAATAAGATCCCCATTAACCTCTCCTTCCTCTATATAGCCAATAAGATCCCCATTAACCCTCTCCTTCCTCAATGTAGCCAATAAAATCCCCATTAACCCTCTCCTTCCTCTATATAGCCAATACGATCCCCATTAACCCTCTCCTTCCTTTATATAGCCAATAGGATCCCCATTAACCCTCTCCTTCCCTCTATATAGCCAATAAGATCCCCATTAACCCTCTCCTTCCTCTATATAGCCAATACGATCCCCATTAACCCTCTCCTTCCTTCTATATAGCCAATAAGATCCCAATTTACCCTCTCCTTCCCTCTATATAGCCAATAAGATCCCCATTAACCCTCTCCTTCCTCTATATAGCCAATAAGATCACTATTAACCCTCTCCTTCCCCTATGTAGCCGATTAACCCTCTCCTTCCTCTATGTAGCCAATAAGATCCCCATTAACCTCTCCTTCCTCTATACAGCCAATAAGATCCCCATTAACCCTCTCCTTCCTCAATGTAGCCAATAAGATCCCTATTAACCCTCTCCTTACTCTATATAGCCAATACGATCCCCATTAACCCTCTCCTTCCTCTATATAACCAATAATATCCCCATTAACTCTGTCCTTCCCTCTATATAGCCAATAAATTCCCCATTAACCCTCTCCTTCCCTCTGTATAGCCAATAAGATTCCCATTAACCCTATCCTCCCTCTATATAACCAATAAGATCCCCATTAACCCTCTCCTTCCTCTATATAGCTAATAAGATCCCCATTAACCCTCTCCTCCCTCTATATAGCTAATAAGATCCCCATTAACCCTCTCCTCCCTCTATATAGCTAATAAGATCCCCATTAACCATCTCCTTCCGCTATACAGCCAATAAGATCCCCATTAACCCTCTCCTCCCTCTATACAGCCAATAAGATCCCCATTAACCCTCTCCTCCCTCTATACAGCCAATAAGATCCCCATTAACCCTCTCCTCCCTCTATACAGCCAATAAGATCCCCATTAACCCTCTCCTCCCTCTATATAGTCAATAAGATCCCCATTAACCCTCTCCTCCCTCTATATAGCTAATAAGATCCCCATTAACCATCTCCTCCCTCTATATAGCTAATAAGATCCCCATTAACCCTCTCCTCCCTCTATACAGCCAATAAGATCCCCATTAACCCTCTCCTCCCTCTATATAGTCAATAAGATCCCCATTAACCCTCTCCTCCCTCTATATAGCTAATAAGATCCCCATTAACCCACTCCTCCCTCTATATAGCTAATAGGATCCCCATTAACCCTCTCCTCCCTCTATATAGCTAATAAGATCCCCATTAACCCTCTCCTTCCTCTATATAGCCAATAAGATCCCCATTAACCCTCTCCTCCCTCTATATATCTAATAAGATCCCCATTAACCCTCTCCTCCCTCTATATATCTAAGATCCCCATTAACCCTCTCCTTCCTCTATACAGCCAATAAGATCCCCATTAACCCTCTCCTCCCTCTATATATCTAATAAGATCCCCATTAACCCTCTCCTCCCTCTATATAGCTAATAAGATCCCCATTAACCCTCTCCTCCCTCTATATAGCTAATAAGATCCCCATTAACCCTCTCCTCCCTCTATATATCTAATAAGATCCCCATTAACCCTCTCCTTCCTCTATACAGCCAATAAGATCCCCATTAACCCCCTCCTTCCTCTATATAGCCAATAAGATCCCCATTAACCCTCTCCTTCCTCTATACAGCCAATAAGATCCCCATTAACCCTCTCCTCCCTCTATATATCTAATAAGATCCCCATTAACCCTCTCCTCCCTCTATATAGCTAATAAGATTCCCATTAATCCTCTCCTCCCTCTATATATCTAATAAGATCCCCATTAACCCTCTCCTTCCTCTATATAGCCAATAAGATCCCCATTAACCCTCTCCTTCCCTCCTATGTGCTACCAGCCCTTATTATCTCTCTGTCTCCCTCAGTCTGCCCACCCCCTCTCCCTCTATTTACCATCTTTAACCAGCTCTCCCCCTGCACCCTCACCTCTCTGTGTAGGATGCCAGCAGGATATGCCTGAGGATGACATAGTCCGCATAGCCCAAGCTCAGGTAAGTCAGCAGAATACACAGCAGCCCACAGGGGTCCCCAATACAGCCCGCCATGACCAGCATGGACACTTCCGGGTCCCCGGCCCCGCCCACGACACGAGCAAACCAATCACAGCATAGGAGCCCACAAAGGTCACGCCCACTAGGCGGTCCAAACCGCACATTACATCACTTCCTGTTAGTGTCAGGAAGTAAACTCTCACTTCCGGTTTGACAGGTTGTCATGGAGACCTGGGGTAGTTAACCCCTTCAGTACTGAGCTGGCCATTATCAGCCATTAATAAAGAGATGGGTTTGCCACCATGTCTCCATGGACAGCAGATATCACTTCATGCTGATAGGCAGCACATGGAAAGTGCTGCTCTGTAATATACAGCATTCAAATGCTGCACAATCACTCCAGAATGATTCATTCCTTACCTGTAGCACTGGGATTGCTCAGAATGCAGGGCAGGTCTATCCAATGCTGCCCAGCAATGTGCACACATCACATATTAAAGGGATAGGCTACACACCATAACCACTTCATCTCACTGAAGTGGTTATGGTACCTAGAACCAGTGGAAGAGGTTCCACTCTGTGATTGTTCATTATTGACCATCACTGCTTGGGGTAAAACTGGAGCAGCGGAGACGGGCTGGGAACAACCATCCAGTGCAAAAAAACTGCTTGAAAAGTTCTAATTCAACACAGTTGAATCTGTAACTCATCAAATTGCTCTAAATATAAAATGAATATGTAGCATTATTAGAAACATACCTTTAACCCCTTAAGGATCAAACTTCTGGAATAAAAGGGAATCATGACATGTCATGTGTCCTTAAGGGGTAATCTTTGTATATTTTGAAAGGATCCCCAAAGGAGACCTTTCTGATTAGGGTACAAAGGCCCTGGGGTGCAGTGAAATATAGGTTTACTTACCCGAAGTTGTACCTTGTAGCTGCTGCCATCTTAATCCAGGAGATCCTCTTCAGCTCCTGGTAATTCATCTTTCAGGAGCCGCAAGAGTACAACACTGAGGTCTATGGAGCCTCCACAGATCGAGTTTGGCATTGAGTGAGGCAATGCCTGAACTCCAATGTTGGGATTGAACAAAGGCTTTACCACCAGACAAAGTGGTCCCTACTTTGTGTTATGGTATTTTTGGATCGCATTTTAATTTCACTAAAAGTCCAATGTAGTCAGTATTAGTATATCATATTTTTATATATTCTTTATGAAATACTGAGAACTGACAGAGCCGCTTATAGTGGTACATATTTTGCAAAGAACCCCCAAATTAGAATAATATCAATATAATATCCATTAAGAGCCCACAATCCTTCATAGATGTCACATTCATAGCACAAAAATATACTTTTACCCATCAGCCAGGGAGAGACAGGTGATCCAACGTTCATGGTAACAATGGGCAAATCTGCCTGGTAAGAGTTGGGTGAGGTCAAACTCTCTGGCTTGCCCCACTCTGGCCAGACCATACATAGAGTACTTTTGAAGCGGTCTGAGCATGGGCATAAAGGAACACTCCAATATTTTTTACAATTTAGTAGATACACTGACCAGCCAAAACATGAAAACCATACAGGTGAAGTGAATGCATTAATTATATTATTACAATGGTACCTATCAAGGAGTAGGATATATTAGGAAGCAACTGAACAGTCAGTTCTTGAATTTTGTGTGTTGGAAGCAGGAAAAATGGGCAATCACAGACTTTCTAAATGCAGCTCACTGTCTGCCTCTTTAGTTTAGCTCCACTGAGCTAAACAACCAAGTGGTTACAGGATCAATTGTCTGACAGCAAGGGGAGTGTAACAAGGTTAAATTACAAATGTGCCAATTTCTATCGAAATCTGCAATATTTGAAAAAAAAAAAGAGCACACACTTATCACATGAAGCACTTCAGCAGGCTAAGGTGTTTTAGGTGTGTGTAGTGTCCCTTTAATGTCTCACTTTTATGAGTGTTCTTGCACGGTGCTTGGTGTCCCCAGATGCAGGACAATGGGACAGAACCCATCAAATGTAGGGTTATTCATTAAAGCATGAAATGTCACGAATTCAAAGTAAATTTCAAAGTTTAGGTCCAAATAAGCCCAAATGCTCACATAGCTGACTTGGTGAATCTTTCCATTGGCCTATTTTGCCCTGAAATTTGAAACTCACTTTTAAATTTGCGATTTTGGGATCATTCGCTAAAGTATGAAATGTTGAAAATTATACTGAATTAAAAATATTAGGACAAAACAGCCGTTTTCGAAAAAAAACCTATCCAAGTCATCCCAATTTTCCATTAGCCTATTTTAGCCTATCAAATAACCCAGTTAATGTGTGCGTGCATATACAACTTCATCTACAGTAGCTGAGATCAAAGCAAATCCTAAAAGTTTCAGCCAGTATTAGCAATGCCTAGGCAACATGATCAATTTCTACTAAACCAAAACCTCTATGCAAGGGGCCATGTTTTCAGGAAAACCAGTGACCTTCAGGTCCCAAATCCCTGTTGCAGATACATTGTTATTATTATTATTAACATGGTTCCAGTTTCCCAGTTCCCTGCTCATAATAGCCACATGCAATCACCAATAACAATGCCAGATACTGTGCACTACATTTATTCTTTATTTAACCCCTTAAGGACACATGACATGTGTGACATGTCATGATTCCCTTTTATTCCAGAAGTTTGGTCCTTAAGGGGTTAAATGTACACAGACAGACTCTAGTGTTCTATTCACTTCCTGCTTCATACGTCAATCACTCAGTCCCTGCCATGTGATTGGCTGCCAGCTATTAGACACACCCCTCTGGTTTAGTATTCTTGACATGTGGGTAGGAGGTTCTGTGCATGGATTCCAAAGAGCTGCTTCCTATCTCTCTGCTAAGGTAAACTTGTGTTTATTCCAATATTTCACGTTTCTGGACTGGGATCTCAGGAATAATACTGACTACAGAACATGATTAATTATAAATCATTGCCTATTGAGCAATGTATGATGTATCTCAGTACAAACATGTGCATTGCTGAGTATTGTATTATGCAATTAGGGGACAAGCCCTGTGCAACATAATATACCAGATCACAGTGTTATTATGGAACACATATAAATGCAGCATGGTAGGGGTTGGGCTGTGCATGAAATAATCTCCCTGCTGTATATAGCATGCATATCCTGCAGGGTTAAAGTCAGTTTAATAATCATGGCTCTTTGTTTTGGGATCAAATAGTTGTTTTCATTCCTTCTGCATATACTTGGAGCACTTTTCATACGTCTCCCCACTGCCCTATTAGGTATTGAGTTGGGCCATCTGTACTATGCATTGTGTAACTAATTTACATTGAGAATAACTGTCTGTGTTGGATATAGGTTGCGCAGAGTTCTCGATGCAGAGGACAGTGGTGGTCGCTGGAGGGGGCATTAGTGGTCTGACAGCCTGCTACCACCTCATTAAGGATGTCACTGTATCAAAGGTAAGACATGTACTTGCTCTGTCCCACTGGACCTGCACAGCCCTTGCTCTGTCATTGAAGAGGGTAGCTGACAATCCTTAACCCCTTAAGGACCAAACTTCTGGAATAAAAGGGAATCATGATATGTCACACATGTCATGTGTCCTTAAGGGGTTACACAATAAACTTTCATTGGCTGTCTCATAGAGAATCGTACTGTCAACTTTAAAACAAAACAAAAAAACATTACTGCTTACTTTCTTTCTTCTTTGACATGTACACAGAAAAATATGACAATATGGTTGCTACAAAGGTACCCTATAATCACTACTTCACGCTGTAGTGGTTATGGTGCCAGAAGCACCCTTGTGTCTCCCCAATGGAGGTTTAACTCCTTACATGGGGTCCTTCAGGTTTTTTTAATGTGCTAAACTCCGCAACGTAGGGCTTAGCTCACTGGCTGAGAGCTAGCCCTGCAGGAGCTTCCATCTGTCACTGCCAGAGAGCGGCACCTGATAGACCCCAGGTCAGTTGTTAGAAAGAGTATGAATCCTTACATTGGGGGGTTGTAGTGGTTATGGTACTTGGAGTTTTCCTTTGAGCAGAGCTGAAGCTGTGTACAGAATATATGATGCAATTCTGCTCCGTGTCTTCTAACAGGTCATACTGCTGGAAGCAAGCAGTCGGCTTGGGGGATGGATGCACTCTACGCGGTCAGATGATGGTGCCACGTTTGAACATGGACCCAGGGGCATTCGACCAGCGGGAGTGGTGGGCAAAAACACATTGTGCATGGTAAGTGATGACCAGAACATGAGTTAGGACATATCTATAACCGCTTGTGGTTGTATCATGCAGAGCCCTGTATACGTGGGGTAAAAGACTTTGCCTAACTAGGGGAGGGTGCATCGTCTTGATAACTACATGTTCTCCAGGTATCGGAGTTGGGTTTGGAGAAGAAAATTCTCCCAGTCCTGAGGAACCATCCAGCTTCCAAGAATCGTTACCTATATGTCAACAAGACACTACACAAACTGCCTTCCAGTATAGGGTGAGTGAGCACGCAACTAGTTATTTGTAACTTCCAATGTCCAGTCAATGTATGAAATTATATTCATTTGCTTTTTCCTATATTTGTCAAACAGTGTTCAAAATGTCTGTGTTCCAGGCATTTCATCTGGCCGTCCATTGCGTCTCTCTGAGAAATAATGACACTGTAAAAATGTGTTTGGTCAGCTTCCAAACGGAGTCCCTACGCTATTTCAATGGTTCCCCACTAGTGGGAACACGTCAGGTCCAAAGAACATGCCCACAATAAATATATATGTGTATATTCTGTTTGAATATCACGCTGCGAATGTACATTTTTGGTTTTATTTTTCATGTTTCCTTTTTGTGTTTTACTTAAAGTGGGGTGTTACGAACCATCCCTCCATTTACCAAGCCTTTGTTCACTTGTGGCCTCCGTGACTTTGTGGCCCCCAGAGGTAGCACTGAGGATGAAAGTATCCACGACTTTATCACAAGGCGCTTTGGCAAAGAGGTAAGATAATTTGTCAGTGTCCATAAAATCTTATTGGCTGAGGGTTCTTATCCCCTCCTGGTGCCTGTCTCTGTATAAAGAAACAGACCTTGAGCCCTTATCTCTCTCTGCAAGGCCTGGGAGGGCTCTGACAAGCTCTGATCGCTTTAGCAGCAATGACAAGCTGAGCGGATAGATTAAAGCACTTCAGTGGGGGGAGACTGCGTAGGAAATACAGCAGCTAGTAGGTTTGTTAACATTTTAATTAACACTTGGCAGTTTATTCACTTTCAATTGAGTTTTAGTCGACACATTTTAGTAAAATTATTAGTCAACAAAATTAGCGCTGCTAAGCAGTGTTTGTTTTTTTGTTTGTTTGTTTGGTTTTTCTTTCGATTATTATTTATTTTATTATTATTATTATTATTATTATTATTATTCTTTGAGAGGCAGGATAGCGTGACCAGTATTGAAACCTAATACAGTTGTGAAGACCAATACAAAGGAATAAAATAAGAGCCGAGATTCACAAATAAATGAGCAATGGTAATTGTCAGGATTATAGTTGATCCAGCACGCAGAAATAGTATCACCTTGGACTAAGGATAACGTCTCACCGGACCTTAGAAAGACCGGACTTAATGTACTCAAGAATAGTCAAAATACTAGCCAAGGTCAGGGATACAGAATGAGACACAACGATGAGGGAAGCCAAAAGTCAAAGATACCAGATATTAGGGAAGTCAAAAACCAGAATAATACGATAAGGAACACACTCTCAGATAACCAGCAAGGGAAACCACGACAGCGCACTGATCAAAAGGAAATTTGGGTTTAAATAACCCTCCTAGAGCTGTAATTGGCTGTATGTGGCCTCTGATCCCAAAACGTGCGTGCAGGTTTATGACGTGACGTCGCACGCACGTAAGCACCATCTTTAATGTGGGCAAAGGCTGTTTCCCCTTCAAAACCAAAACTGCAGCGGCCGGCGTCTCCAGGAACGCCGCATGCGCTGGGGACCAGGACGGAAGGAGGTCGGGTCGTGATCTTCCGCAAGCAAGGTAAGTATTTATTATTTCTGTCGGTGTGACCGCTGAGTTTCCATGCGGCACCGACAGAATCCCGCCGCACCGTGAATGTAATATAAATACAATTTGAAAATCACAATTCCACAACAAACCTGTCTGGACTCAGTGCTGGGTATAGCAATAATATTAAACATTGGGCTGTCTGTTCTACTATCCTACACTCCCAAACATTTGTATATCAGAAACTCAAAAATATAAACTGAAAGCTAAGTAAATAATGACGACAAGATAGCGAAGAGAATAGGAAGAGGAGGAGGAGGAAGAAAGGGGGTGAGGGGGGAAAGTGCAATGACATGATGCCCCTACACCCGGTCGAGGCTGAAGGCAAAATTATTAGAGCTATAGTTTTTCCATGGAACCCAGACTTTGGAGAAAGAGCATGTGGATTGCCTGACCTTGGCTGTCAGTTTGTCCATAAGACCATTGTCTTCGATCTTCAAAATCAAATTTTTTAAGAGCAGAGGTTCAATTTGTGTCCACCTAGCTGCTAGTATCCTATGGGTGGCTAGTAAGGGCATTCAATAGATTGAGTGGTTTATTGACCACGTTGCAAAACGCAATTTGGGGTTTATTTGGGGGGGGGGAGGTTTTTTTTTTTTTTTACCCCAATTTGTATAAATATTTTATAGCTTTGCTGTCTACTAACCACATTTTGTTATTTAGTCAACAAACCTTATGTTTTGTATAAAGCAAGTTGTTTTGTTTTATTTAAAAAAAAAAAACCAAGAATCCTTAGGTTCATTAGTGGCATTTTATGATGTGCAATTATGGTGTCAGGAAAGTTATTACCCAATATCCTTATCTGCAGTGGTTATGTTGTGTGCTTGGAGATCGTGGACTAAGGCAAGTAATTACCCAGAATCCCTGATTTCCCTGGAACATGTGTGCTTTGTGATTTATGCGATGAGACAGATGATTACCAGAATTCCTGGCTGCAGTCTTGGTTCTTTATGCTGTATAATTATGGGTTTATGCTAGTTATTACCCAGAATCCCTGTCTGCATTGGTAACTGTATACAGTTTGTGCATACAATAAAGCCGGTCACTGCAGAGACTCCTTTGTAGCTGGGGCTTATCTGTGGTCCAGGAAGTCTTGCAATAAAGGACCACTATAGGCACCCAGACCACTTCAGCTCAATGAAGTGGTCTGGGTGCCAGGTCCATCTAGGGTTAACCCTGCCTGCTGTAGAAACTGCTATGTTTACATATGGGTTAATCCAGCCTCTAGTGGCTGTCTCATTGACAGCCGCTAGAGGCGCTTCCTCCCTTCTCACTGTGATTTTCCGTGAGAAGACGCCAGCGTCCATAGGAAAGCATTGAGAATGCTTTCCTATGGACTGACTGCGCGCGCGGCTCTTGCCGCGCATGCTCATTTAGCCGATGACGTCGGAAGGAGGAGGAGAGTCCCCAGCGCCAAGGGAGCCCGGCGCTGGAGCAAGGTAAGGGATTAACCCCTTTCTCCCACTTCAGCCCGGCGGGAGGGGGACCTATTAATACTATAGTGCCAGGAAAACGAGTTTGTTTTCCTGGCACTATCATAGTCCTTTAATGATGGCTAATTCTTCATTCTGTAATTGTTCTGTTTAACTATTTAATGCCTTATCTCACCTTCCAGCTCGCTGACATTGTGATAGACAGTCTGTGCCGCGGGGTGTTTGCCGGTGACTCTCGAGCTCTGAGTCTGCGTGCTTGTTTCCCTTTCTTATATGAAGCCGAACGCAAAAAGAGATCCGTCATTCTGGGAATGGCAACAGGAGGAGGTAGGCGTCTTGTGTCAGATGCATATTAAAAAGATTAAAGGAATACCCTATAGTGTTACAGCCACCATTTAGGTGGCTTGCCCCCCTTAAAAGGTAAGAAAACTTACCTTCCAGCGCCACGTGGGTCTGCTGGCGCTGCCCCATCCCCACCCCCCAATCCGCCTTCTTGGCTGACCTCAGCCAATTGAATGCTTTCCCTTAAGAAAAGCATTGGAGTGGCTGAGATCGTCAAGGACGCTGGGCAGGGCCAAATGCCAGCTTGGCCAATCGGCATCTCCTCATAGAGATGCATTGAATCAATTAATCTCTATGTGGAAAGTTCAATGTCTCCATGGAGAACCTGAACGTCTGTGCCCAGATGCCCACTGGAGGTGTTCCTAGGGAGCAATGTAAACACTACCCTTTTTTTCACAAATAAAGCAATCTGACAGTAGAAATCACCTAATCTGATAGATTTTGAAAAAATAGAGCAAAATATAACTTAAAATATTTAGTAATTCAGTTGTTTTTATTGTAAGGAAAAAAAAGTAGATTACATAAATTGGACATGACAGTTTTTATATATTATTTGACCAAAATATATATATATATATATATATATATATATATTCTATAGAGAATATTTCAGATCATAACATTCAGTACAGAGAGCTGCAGTTTGGGATCTGTTAATTCTTTCGGTGCTTTGAATTCTCTCCTAGATAAGCGCCCTCAGCCGGACTCTGAGCTCATCAAAAGGTCCACACAGGAGAAGTGGAGTCAATGGTCACTGCAGGATGGATTACAGACTCTCTCAGAAGCCCTGGAGGAATTTATAAAACAGAAGGGGGTAGAAGTTCACAAGAACACGCCAGTGAAAGCCCTTGAGAGGACTGCGGACAACCGATGGAAGGTACCCGCATGGGGGTGATTTAATGTGATATGTGGGCCAGATCCTCTTCTCTTTTAATTTGTTTGTTGCTTTGCTGGGCAGATCCTACTACCAGAGGGCAGCATTACAGCCGATCATCTGTTCAGCTCTCTCCCTGCAAAAGGTAACATTTATTATACATCGACAAAGCGACGACATACGCCTCTGCATTGTACACCTCAGAACTCAAGCAAATCCTCATCCGTACAAAGGAGTTTATTCGCAAGTCACCAAATTGTCCTGGGCAAAACTGAATTTTAATTAACACTAAAATAGACAAGCTACGATTTATAGCAAAGTTGAAGAATTTCTCCAAATCTAGCTATCTGTTATTGCCTAAATTTTGTCATTTGAGTTTTAGATTACTGCAGTTCAGCATGCACCGAAAAAAAACCAACTTTGTGGCACAGACTGCATGTCAACATAACAGAGAAAAAAAGGGAAAGGGTGCGCCTTAAAAAGTAGTAATAAAGATAGTATATACACAAGTGGATAATAAGATAAAGTCCAAATAACTTAACACTAGTCCAATGTAGTGTAATCCACAGTAGTAGGGAAAATTCTTGTAGAACAGCAGATTAGATGGATCGTCACGGGTGTGGACTTTTAATTCAATGGAACTTATGGGGAAAAAAACACAAAGACGGAACTCCAATGGTCCAGTAGGTAGATACACTTAGATATTGGAATTATGGCAATAAGGAACTACTCACAATCTCCAGAGCTAAAATCCAGCTCTGGTATGGAATGCGTGAAGTGTAATGATCCCCACTCAAGGATATATGGAGTGTAACCAGCTAGAGGATGTGTATAGCAATGCAGTAGTCCAACAGCGGTGTGGTTCACTGTATCTTATTAAAATCGAAAGATAAAAGTATGAAATGTACTCACAGTTGTATAGCGTATGGGTGGTAATACCCACCTAAGGATTCTTTGCTTCTTTTAGGTGATGAACATCAATATAGTCAGGTTAAAAGCAAAAATAAAAGAAAGGAATATGGCAGCCAAGGTATTCAGAGCCAAAAATTCCTTTATTGTAACAAATAAAAATACTTTTCTAGACGCGTTTCGCCTAAACAGGCTTCTTCAAGTAGAAAATAGTAAAAACATAAACCTAACATACATGACTTTATATATAGGGTACATTAATTGAATTGGAATTTGAATATTTCCTCCAAAATGACATCATCAAAATCTTAGTGTAAAGATACATAATTAAAAATGAATGCTGATATTAAATAAGCTATTTAAATATATCCAGGGTTATAAGTGGTTATAAATATTATTTACAAAAACAAGGTTTTAATATGCTAAAAATAAAGTATAAAGCGAATCAAGTGACGCGCATGTGTGACATGTCATAATTCCCTTTTATTTCAGAAGTCTGGTCCTTAAGGGCTTAAATAAGATAGATAAAATACAAATAAAATAAGAGAAACACTGTTAATAAAAAAATATATAATAGATATTATAAAAAATTTAAAAGATCAAAATCTATATTTAGACCCTATGGGGCAAGAGTCTTTGATTTATATACCCATTCCATTTCTCTGCTCCCTAAAATCTTTTTTTATATCTCCACCTCTCTATGGGACACTACATATATCTATGCCTATACATTTAAGAAGTTTTTAAGTTGTTTGTTTTTTGTTTTGTTTTTTCGTGTTTTAAAAAAAATGTTTTGATAATGAATGGGTCTCATAACCTTTTAAAATATTCTGGCAGTGTTCTGCCAGTCTGGTTTTAAGATTCCTAGTAGTCATGCCAACATAAATTACATTCTTTGTATTACAGTTGATAAAATATTTTATAGGATATGTTTTCTGTTTAATTGATGATTTAAAAGAGGTGTTTTTTAACTTAATAGTATCATCCGTACTTTGCAGACTGCATTTGTTACATTCTAAAAAAAAACTTTTGGTTTAGTTAGAAAAGAGGAGGAGCATGAGGAAGGAGTAGTGGTTTTTAGTATAATTTTTTGTCAGTATGGATTTAAAGCTGGGTGCCCCTCTAAATACAACGTGTGGTTTATTGGGGATAATTCCTGTTTTAATATATGCCAATTTTTTTTGTCTTTTTTTTTTTTTTTAATTCTTTATTCCAAGGCAGACCAGTACACTGAAAACATGATGCATCAAAACATTGTAAAATATTGTTACACCGTGCAAAACAGTATTGTATGGTATTTGCAATAACAGTAAGCTAACAATCTTTGCACCCCCTTACTGCAACATAGTAACATGAAGTGTATCTATCATCCACTACAGCACTGTATCTCTGTCCTCCCTGGTAGATTTTTGTTTTACACGAAAAATATAAGAGACATAACAAGGCTAAGACCGCCAAACATTTCTTTTGTTAAAGGACCACTATAGTGCCAGGAAAACATACTAGGGGAAAAGGGGTTAAACTTACCTTTTTTCCAGCGCTGGGCGGAGAGCTCTCCTCCTCCGATCCGCCCGTCGGCTGAATGCACACGCGCGGCAAGAGCTGCGCGCGCATTCAGCCGGTCACATAGGAAAGCATTCTCAATGCTTTCCTATGGACGCTGGCGTGCTCTCACTGTGAAAATCACAGTGAGAAGCACGCAAGCGCCTCTAATGGCTGTCAATGAGACAGCCACTAGAGGGAATGGGGGAAGGCTTAACCCATTCATAAACATAGCAGTTTCTCTGAAACTGCTATGTTTATGAAAAAATGGGTTAACCCTAGAAGGACCTGGCACCCAGACCACTTCATTAAGCTGAAGTGGTCTGGGTGCCTAGAGTGGTCCTTTAATAGAACATGCCCCATCCATTTCCCTGCGATTATGCACGGGCCTCATATGTCTTTTTCTCTAGCTCTATCGAATTATTATCCTTTTGCACCTATTATCGTCTAAACATATCCTTTAGCAGTGCCATTTGTTATGCCAATGTTTATTAATAATCTTCTTCATAACATTGCTTTTGTTATTAAAGCCTTTCTAGCCATACCTGCATGTCAACATAACTCAATTCTGTTCTATATTTCCGCAGTTCTAAGCCAGTTGCTTCCTCCATTTGCCAAAACTATGGCAGCCGATCTCAGCAAGATCTCATCAGCCACGGTGGCTGTGGTGAATTTGGAATATGATGGAGATGTCATGCCAGTTTCAGTAAGAATCGTTGTCTTTATTAGAAGTACTGATCGGTCATTAATGCACTTTGACCTTTGGCAGGAATGACCCCTTAATACATTAGTCTTTAGGAAGAACTGGCTTTGTGTCACTTAGTTAGGACTGGTATTTTTGTTCTGTTTTTTTTTTTGTTTTGTTTGTTTTTTAAACTAAATTCTTTTGATAAAATGTTTACCTTTTCTTGTCCCAAGCCTGGTTTAATATAACATGTATGCTGTGATAGAACAAAATAAAAAATTCTATCTTTAAAAGTAAAACAAATGATCAATACACAAGGCTGGTGTACTAATTATTCAATGTGAGAATTCATGATCTTTTGATTCGAAATTTGCTTTGAATTCGGACATTAATTAATAACCGGTAGATGGGTAGTGTCTTGACATGGATCTTTTCCACTGGTATCATAATCACTATAAACATAAGTTGACATCAATAATTTATAAAAAAAAAAAAGCATAAAACAGACCTGATAGAACCCAGGATTGTTTAACTATGGATTCTGTTTCAGCTGAGCTTATTTTGCCTCTCAGGGTTTCGGACATCTAATCCCATCATTTGAAGACCCTGTTTTACTGGGCATCGTTTACGATTCTCTTGCATTTCCAGAACATAACCGCAGGGGATCAAAGTCCACGAGACTCACGGTAATTACAGCAGTTCTGCAAAAATATTTCCCTTTTATAATCCTTTTGTTTATGGAGTTTTGAAGGAGTACATTCCTAATAGTTGTGTATAACATTATTTTTATTTGTATGTGTAATCTCTTTTCACAATCTTTCTTAGGCTCTTTTTACTGCTTGAATACATTTACGATGTAGAAAATTTTAAACAATGGCTGCACCCACCTGTAAAATGACTGTTTGTTTTCAGTGCTGTTCGCTCACCAATCACTGTCCTGTCCAGAATTCGGCTCTCCTGGGTGGCAATACTCCAAGCAATTTAGACATTGGAGCTGGCTTACACTGGACACGAAGTGTTTGTTTAAAGAAATGTTATGCTTTGCCAGTTATAATAAATGTTATCAGTATATTGATTAGTGTATTTTGAGAATGAGAACTCAGTACTCCGGTCTCAAACATTTCTTTTTAATCACTCATGCAATTACAGAGAGAACCTTTACCATTTGCATATTGGACTGATCCCACCTGTAAGGGCAGTCCAGATCTGAAATGTCAGTAAGTTATCTCTGCACGAGAGATACTCAACCCTGAACAATTGTTCTGATACTATGTTTCTGTTGCCAGGCTTCAACTTGGCTTTCCCCAAGTTAAAAGGGTTATCCAGACATGGACCCGTGCTTACTGTGCCTAGAGGGGTATCGGCTGACGAGCCCCACAGAAGGCTGAAACGATAGTTGCTGTATCTCTTGTTGAGAGAGAATTTGCCAGCATTTTAGTACTGGACCTTATGAGTGGGATCGGTCTGATGTGCCGTTACAGAAAGCACCAGTTCCAAGGCACAAGTGAGCAAAAACTATTTTGAGACCTGAGCTGGGATTTACTGAAGGGCAATCTACCGTGTTTCTCTAAGCTTTTGTCTGTTCTTAGAATTCTCATTCTCTGTTTTTGTTGGCTCTCCCCAAGTTAAAAGGGTAATGCAGACATGGACCCATACTTACTATGCCTAGAAGTGTATCAGCTACACCTTGCTGACAGGGCCCAAAGAAGGCCAAAATGATCATCCCACGTTGCTGTATCTCCTCTATAGGATCAAATCTTAAGATGACCGTTTTAACAGCTGTTGCTAGCACCACTTCTTGTCAAGCTTTGTCAAATTCAGGTTTAACCAAAAGTCAAAGTAGTCCCTATGTTTGTCTTTTCAAAAATCTTTTGACTGCTTTGAAATGTCAGTGAACTTGTTCTGTAGAGGATATGATTCTTAAAGTATCCATTTGACAGGGGTAAAATGCTAGAGTAAAAAAACAAACCCCTTATTAAAAGGGACACACTAGGCACCCAGACCACTTCAGCTCATTGAAGTGGTCTGCGTACAGTGTCCCAGGTCACTTAACTGTGCAAATATTATTGCAGTTTTTAGGAAACTGCAATGATTAGTTTTCACCTCTAGAGGCTGTTTACTAGACCACCACAAGGGGGACTTCTGGACTGTAAGGCAACTTTTGGTCGCACAACTGATGCTGGATGTCCTCACGCTATGCAGGCGTAGACGTCCCGTCCAGCGTCACCCAAAACTCCATAGGAAAGCCTATAAATCTTCATGCAAGCACGGCCATTGCCGACGTCGGGAGCGAAGGTGGCGTTGGAAATAAGTAAGTAACAGAATCGGTTTCCCTTAAAATAGTAAACTGTTTTATTAAAAAAGAAACCGTTGAAACACTTGAGGGAGTTTATGGCAGAGCAGGTACTATTTTTGGACAAAGTGCTAAATTATTATTACCATCGAAGTGGTAGCAACTTATTTCGCAACCTTTTAAAATGATAGGGAATATTTAAGGGTAAGGAAGGCCCTGCTCAAATGAGCTCACACTCGGAGGATCTGAGCTAGGCCTACATATAGTTGGGTGTCTTGCTCAAGGACACTTACTGGTAATGATCTGTTTTGCCATGCTAAAATCCACTTACACTTCTAAATGGTGAACATCTCCACAGTCTGAGGTCCCACTATTACGCCTTGTTAGTACTTATAAAGAGGAGTTTGTCACAGTATCTTCTTGCACATCTCTTTGCTACCCTGACTCCTAGCTCCAGTCAAGCTTAAATTATGTAATTTGGCTTTTAATTTACTACAATAAGGAGTTTTGTGAGTGCTATGGATTAGGCTACACTTGGAGAAGATATGGGTCACTGTAATCTAGAAAGTTGCTGCTCTGGACCTTTTGCAGTTGTCTCTGCAGGCACTATTTGAGCGTTCATTCTTGATAAGTGTCCACAGTCCATTTTGGAGTAAAGGGTAAGTGAAATGCCCTGGGGAGAACTAGCTTGTTAACTGGAAGGTGATGACACAACTGGCAGGATCTAACTGCATTGTATAGATTTGTCACTAGAATATTGACATCTGGGAAAATTCCAATGTAACTTTGTCATTCTCTCACCCCAGTGAACAGTATTAGAGCATTGGGGTGAGACGTACAGTGGAGGTAAATATTAAATACTTACCTCCCTAGCATTTCAGTGTTCAGGACATACACATGCTGAAAATTACCTCATCTTCCTCACGTACACATCGCCAGAATCAGTTACATGATATGACCGCAAGCCATCAAATAAATCAAATCTAATCAGTTTTTTTGTTTTCCATTTCAAGAATTTAAAAAAAATAAAAAATCACAACCCGTAGCTAACTTTGCTAACGTATCAATCTGATTCAAGCCCAACATATGACTGTTCCCTTCAACACATTTTAAGAGACACCGCCACTGAGCAATAAAACTAACTCCAAGCACCATAACCACTACTGCAGGTTCATTTGATTTACCCGAGTCTGACAGGCACAACTCCCCATCTCTACTCCAATCAGACAGTGAGACAGAAGCTCTATGGTGCTTTAAGTGTCACTTTAAAGGGAGTGTTTGTATTATTTTTTTTAAGGTTTTTATTGGTTTGTCACAAGTCTTCCTTGGCAGTAATAATGAAATGTGTCTTTAAAGCAATGGTTTATGGAGGGCTTTACCGTTTTACAGGCATGTTAATGGTAATTATTACAGTAAGTGTGTGTGTGTGTGTGGTTTGCTTTGGAGTGTTGAAATCACATTTAATTATTGGAGTTAAAGTAGGCTCATGTTTTTTACGCTATTAATCATAAAACTTTATTGTTTCAGTAAAGAGAGGAAGCATGGTTCAGAGATGGATACTGGAGAAATTAGGAGGTTCTGCTCTATAGCATGAAGTAGTAACGGAGCAGATAAAGTAAATCCATACAAAACTTTGCAACAGGATAATAAAGTTAAACTTGTCAAATGTATTGTTTTCTGTCCTTAAGGTGATGCTCGGAGGCGCTTGGTTTGAAAGGGTCTTGGGTGACCCTGATACAGTCTCTGCAGAAAAACTCTTGCATCTGGCAAAAGAAGCGGCAAAAGAACAGTTGGGAATTCAAGGGACGCCTAGCAGAACCATCGTAAACTTGAACAAGGTGACGTGTTAAAGTAAAGTACCGAGTGGTCTTTAAAAGTGCGTGTTTTCAAGGAGACTTAAAGGACCACTATAGTGCCAGGAAAACATACTAGTTTTCCTGTCACTATAGTGCCCTGAAGGTACCCCCACCCTCAGGGTCCCCCTCCAGCCGGGCTGGATGGAGAGGAAGGGGTTAAACTTACCACTTTCTCCAGCGCCGGGCAGGGAGCTCTCCTTTTCGGCAGGAGCCACGCACGCATTCAGCCAGTCCATAGGAAAGCATTCACAATGCTTTCCTATGGATGCTGGCGTCTTCTCACTGTGAAAATCACAGTGAGAAGCACGGAAGCTGTCTAGCGGCTGTCAATGAGACAGCCACTAGAGGCTGGATTAACCCATTTATAAACATAGCAGTTTCTCTGAAACAATGTTTATAGAAAAAAGGGTTAAACCTAGCTGGACCTGGCACCCAGACCACTTCATTAAGCTGAAGTGGTCTGGGTTCCTATAGTGGTCCTTTTAATACCTTCAAAAAGTTCCCGTAGGAGGGGAGGGCAAGACACAAAGTGAATTTATAACTTAAAGGAATGTCATTAGCACCAAAACAACTTTAGATTAATGGAGTGATTTTGGTGTATAAAACATACCGCTGCAGTCTCACTGCTCAATTCTGCCCTTTAGGAGTTAATTCACTTTGTTAATGTAGCCCTAGCCTCACCTTTCCTGCATGTGACTTACATATTACATGTGAAGAGAAATCTTTAATATTTAAACATTTTATTGCACATTTTGGTTTCATGTATATTTTATCTCCTGCTTTTTTAATGGCCTGCTAGTGTCCTGCGTTTTTAATTAAGTTTAGAGTAGGAGCTAAAAACTTCAAAAATTAAACACACTGTGCTGATTGAAAATGAAACTAATTTTTTTTCATTCAGGCTGCATCAGTCACAGCCAGAGGAGGTGTGCCCAGGGCTACACAAACAAACATGATTTAACTCCTAAATAGCAGAGAATTGAGTGGTGATACTGCAGGGGCATGATCCATACACCATAACTGCATCATTATGTTTTGGGGCTTTCTAAAGCCAAACTAGATGAATTAGAGAAACCGTCCAGTTTGGCTATTTCGGCCTTAAACTTTAAATTCACTTTGGATTTGACATTTCTCATTTAGTGAAAAAATGTAAGACTTTTTTTATCTCACCTACCCTATTCCGTGGTGGGGGTGGTGTTAAAATGGATTGTTGTAATTGATCCAGATTGACTTTGTGCATTTATTTTTACACCTGAAAACTAAATGCTGTTCTTTTCTTCGCAGACCTGTATCCCTCAGTATACAGTGGGGCACTATAAACGGACAGGTATGGACCAGCCATCACATTTATCATAGTGCCCGCTCTGGGTATTCCATGTAACAGACATTAATAATTGTGAAATTAGTGCATTGTTATTAGAAAGATGAAAGCAATATCTGTAGGCACATTCGCTCCTTGGAAGACTGAGGTCTAGGTAGATATGGCTTGGACTAAAAGATGTGGTTGACCACCTCTTCCTCTCTTTGCAGAAAGCATCTTCCACTTTATCAAGCACCACAATCTGCCACTCAGCCTCATTGGAGCATCGTACGAGGGCGTCTCTGTTAATGACTGTATTTACAATGCCAGAAAATCTGTACAACGCCTCTTTGGCAAGCCGAAAGATTAGAATCGTAGCCTGGCTTGGCCCAAAGACATGGTCCTGTGTTACTGGTCAACTCATTCACACAGAGCCATCAACACTGAATGAGTGAATGGATTTCAACAAACTTTGAGATTTTAATGTATCAAGCAGTCAGGGGAACCTTTAAACCATTGCAGAGCAGTTCTGAGGTCAAGGCCAGGCAACAGCAGGAGCAACAAAATATGCACCCCAAGTGTCCTGACTCCCATTTCTCTATTTAATAGCATTAATGTGATTGTGAGTGCAAGATGTTTAACAGTCTGGTCACAGCATGGAAGCGCTGTTTGCCATTGTCTTTGCAGACATCAGGGACTAAAACATTGTCAATTAAGCATCCACACGATCACAGTTGTTCACTGAAGATATTTCAAAGTGAATTTTCTATTAAAAGGTCTAAATAGCGGAATTCGAAAAATTCTTAGTCTATTTAAATTTCCTTTAAATTATCTCTTTAGTAAATAACCCTGTATATCTGATACTCTAAATATTCACAAGGCCCTGTTTTTTTGTTAATAGGAAAAGTCTAAGATTATAAATGACCATATTAAAGCAGCACTGTCACACTCCCTTCCATATAAATGAGTTTCTTAAAGATGGAATCTTTATGCAATACTGTTAGACTGTGTTGTAATTTCACTAGGGGGGTGGGGGACGACAAACGACTGTGCAGAGCTACCTGGCTTTGTCTAGGGGCAGGAGCCAAAGAGGAGTTAAAACTCCCTTTTACCCGTCCGCACCGGACCCCTACCAGTGATGTCACCATCGGGGTTTTTGCAAATTTTGAGAGTACCGCTTTAATCGCAGCATTATATAAATAAAGTGACATTTCATATCATTAGGAATGAAATGGGGAGATACAGGGACCTCGATAAGCTTGGTATGTGGGAAAAAGGAGGGAATAACCCTCAGATGAAGTTATTTTGGCAGATTGGAGACTGATCCCAAAACCAATTGAGTATATAGATTTTTTTTATCCTTTATTAAAGATATTTTTAAAAAAGCAAACAATAGGGAGATCAAAAATATGTATGATGAGAACCTTTATGAAAAACGAAAGGGGTAAAAATTCTATATACAGAGGAGTATAGTGCTATTGCTGAAAATCAGCCAGATTTAACAAAGATAGCAACATATGTACCAAAGTGTTGCTTTTTCTGAGAGTAGCCAGTCGGGTATTTGTTAAAGTGACTGGAAAGATATCCAAGATTCAAATTAGCTGATAAACTAGCAGGCATAGGCAACCTTCGGCACCCCAGATGTTTTGGACTACACCTCCCATGGTGCTTTGCCAGCATTATGGATGTAGTCCACAACATCTGGGGTGCCAAAGGTTGCCTATCTCTGAATAAAGTTCATTAGTGCTGGTAATCAGCCACGCTAGTTTTTAAATGTAATGCCCAAATGTCGTTGAGTTTGCTAAACAGTCACGAATATATTCAAAGAAATAATAAAAGGCTAATTAACCAGTGGAACAGCTAATTAGCTAGAGCCATAGTGATCCAGATGTTAATGCAAATAATATATTTTTTAATAGAGATGCTAGTATAGGGTAGATAAACTAAGCTGTGTTTTAATAAGTGCCTAATATTCTAATAAACTGAATTTCTAAGCTAATTATTATACAGCAATAATATGGAGCGGTATTTTAGACGATCTAGCATCATGTGCTGTGCCTTCGTGGGCACCTATCGTCTGAGAAGATTAAGGTTGCTATAATAAAGACCGCTTCTATCAAGATTAATTTTATCAATAGATAACGGCTCAGTCAACCTGCAGCTTCTTAGGCTTTATAGACATGTTGGAATATCTGTCTGCCGAAAGAACGGCAAAATATCGTAATGAGAGAGGAAGAATGCCAAGGTAAATAGTCCTGAGCCAAGCCTTTTCCCCTTTCTCTTATATAAAGTTTCTCACCATACATATTATTTTTGATCTCCCTATTGTGATAATTTTTTGCTTTTTAAAATAATTTTAATAAAAAGGATAAAACATTTCTTAAACTTCTCTCTACATTCAATTGTTTTGGGCAAAGTCTCCAATCTGCCAAAATAATTAGAATTTTTTAAAATATTTTTTAAAGCAATCCTGTATATTTGTAGTCACCCCTAATTTTATTTTTTAAATGCCAGGAGGTTCCCCCCTGTTCGTAAATACTATACTGGATCCTAATTTAAATAATCCTATTACAACCAGATCTATGTCACTGTACCTATTATGAACAAACATCTCAACAATACAGACCTGTCCAAACCCAGCTGGAGTTAAAGAATTAAAAAGTGTGTGATTTGGATAATTTGGGGGAAGAATGTAAGCAAACGCAAACTGACATCTGTTCGTGATGAAAATAAACACATCTAAATTGGTTTCTTGAGCACTTTATTTTAATTTGAAAAACAAGATGACAGAATTTTTAAAAATTTTGTGTATAAGAAGGCCTTTAAAACGGGTTTGTCATTTGATTGTTTGCCTGTGTCCAAGTAGAATAATGGACTGCATTTAGCGATGTTCTCTAATTAAGTTTTTCACTTACCATAATAAAAAATATCTAAATATTGAGAAGACCTGCAAGAGCGGTCAGTGATTCGCCGGAGCATCTATTTGGAAAATTCAGGGGTGTCCAAAAGGTAGACCCCCAGCTGTTGTGGAAGAACTACAGCTTCTGTGAGGCGCTGCCATTCTAAAGGCATGCAATACATTATGTGAGTTGTAGTTTTATAACATCTGGGGATCTACCTTTTGGGCACCCCTGTTCTATATAGAGTAGGAGACGTCCGGTGACATCGTTGCAGTGTTAGATTGGTTGCAAGTCACTTTAATGTATCAAGCAGTAAGGGGAACCTTTAAACCATTGCAGAGCAGTTCTGAAAAAGCTTCACAACTTTATTTTGCCAAAACTGCATCAGTCTTGTTCTGTACAACTGTAGTGATGGATAATTATTAGCCACTACTATCCCCTCCTAGGTATACCAAGGAAAATAAACGTGATTAGACCTTGGTCACTGAGTAAAGTAGATTTGAGTACGGTTTACATTTGCTGCTTTTGTCGCCATGCTCCCACATGTTTTGGTGTGATGCAGCAATTGATTCTCTTTACAAATCTGTTTCTTTTACTGGGTGTGTCTATTAAAAAGGACACTATAGTCACCAGAACACCTACAGCTTATTGAATGTGTTCTGGTGAGTATAATCATTACCTTCAGGCTTTTTGCTGTAAACACTGTCTATTCAGAGAAAATGCAGTGTTTACATTACAGCCTAGTGATAACTTCACTGGCCACTCCTCAGATGGCTGTTAGAGATCCTTCCTGGGTCATGGCTGCCTAAAATGCATCCAAACTTTCAGTATCTCCTCCCTCTGCATGCAGACACTGAGCTTTCCTCATAGAGATTAATTGATTCACTTCATCTCTTTGAGGAGATGCTAATTGGCCAGGGCTGTGTTTGAATCATGCTGGCTCTGCCCTTGATATGCCTCCTAGTCAGTCTCAACCAATCCTACAGGGAAGCATTGTGATTGGATCAGGCTACCACTTCTGATGAAGTCAGAGGAATTTCACAGGCAGAGGTAGAGACTTCACTGGCATCTTCAGACTTGAATATAAGTAAGATTGTACTATCTTTAGGGGGACCACTATAGGGTCATGAATACATGTTTGTGTTCCTGACCCTATAATGATCCTTTTAAGAAGTGCCACCTAGGCACAAAATGCGTTTGCTCCCCCCCCCTATTGCATTGTGACACATTTTATATTTAGAAAGAAAAAGAAAAAAAAGATACTTGCTTATTGAGGCATCATCCTATTTGAGAGATGCTGGACGTTTTTAACTTTATTAGCAATGTGTGGTTAGGTTAATATGCTGGGGGCAGTTATATTATAAAAAAAAAAGGACACCACAGGCTCTCACATTTTATGCACAGTGTAGGTTAGATGACAGTTAGCTATACTGTGGTGAGTTATTAAAAGGAAACTCCAAGCTCATAATTATGGGAGGGAGGGGGGATTATTAAAGGGAAACTCTTACACTTTTGTTGTCTGTTTTCAAATAATGTCCAGCACTATCCCTTGTGTGGTAGGTAAGTGCCTGTTTCTGTGTGATGTGACAGACACAGCTTTCCCGGTCATACCTTATGAAATCACAGCCGCTCGGGGCACTTCTATACGCGTGTATGTGAGTGATTGTCGAATTGTGTGTGGCTAATTTTATAATGTTGCTAACCTGTAGGATAGCATGGCTAATGATTCAGTGCTGTGATTATTAAACTTACTTTATTTTTTTAAATTTGTGTGAGAGCGCAACTTAAAGAATGTACGAGAGTATGGCAAGGTTTGTCTCGAATAAAAAAATAAAAAGTTAGCCAACACCTAACTAGTGAGCCCGGCTCCTAAATTCTAGAGAAGTTAGTCCAGATTTAAGCGAGCCCAAAAGTTTGTTTGTGTTTTTTTGTGGTGCAAGAAATGATTTGCATGATTCCAGATAATGACACTTTAGGTAAGTGTCATCACCTTAAACTAGATCAACATACAATAAATCAAATCTCTTGAAAAAGAAAAAACAAACAAAGCATCTCGGTAACGCTCAGTATTCTTACACTATGACGTGCAATAAATTAAAAATCTCTATGTAATAGCTCTGTACACAGAAACAGAAGGAGTCAATTAAAATTTCCCCTCTGGATCATATGTAACGACCACCGACATAACGAGGCAGATATCTGGTAAAAAAAAAAAAAAAAAAGTAGCAAATATATATTCAAAAACTTCAAATTGTTGAATTTAAATACTGATTCAAGCACACATTCCGTAACCGCTTCAGAGAGATTATACGCCAAACAGACTGGCGTAAGGCAACGTTTCTCACCCCCTCTTATATTCTTCTCTAGAACCGCGCACAGCACAGAATAAATTATCTTTTAAAAAATAGATCCATATATACATATATATGTACAATACTTGTAGCCACAGGGAGCATTGCTGCAGTGGAGCAGGATAGGAGTAGTACAAGGTACAAAAAGTCACAGTAACAGTGCCACAATACCATCCAGCCCAATGGCAAATTTTCACAGTAATATCATTACTTGTATACAGTAGTGAGGCACTCTGAACAAATCGTTGCTTAAATAAAAAACAAAAATCATCAGCCTCCGCCAGGTTCTTCATGTCAGATCCCATGCAGTCCACAGGGAAGAGTGCCCTCTGGTAAAGGTAGGACATGAAAGATGTCCAAAGGTCTCAAAAGGCTGAAGACGGGCATTTGTTTGTATGAAGTCATCAAAAAGCACCAAGCAGGTGCATTAGACTAACCAGCATATACAACATTCCTGGGAGTCTCAATCGTCAAGATGGCCAAATCCCCCACCCCAACCCATACCATTTCTGCAATGCCCACGTATTAGTACTCCAAAAAAAAGAAGATTAAATAAGGAGGGGCAAACAAGCTGCCCAATTACATTTCTGGATCCCATGCTCTGGAACGGTTCTCAAAGTCTAGCACCTTTGTTTGATTCTAGACCATGAGGATTGTTCCAGGAAGTACGGTTTAATGATCTGATATCCAGATTCTCTCTAGAATCTCCTGCCTCGACACGAAGATTTGAGATCATGGATGACCTCCTAGCTGCCCTTGGTGCGATTCTTCTGGAGTCTAGATTTTTGTTCACGAGCGGTTTCTTGCTTGAGACTTTAGATTGCTGCATGTGTTGGAGTGCAAATTTACCGGCCATGTGGTCATCTTCCCTTTTCCCCTTTACATCATCGCTCTCTGAAGTCTTTTTTACATCCAAACCATCTCCCATGGATTGGTTTACTGCAGTTTGAGAAAATTTTGGAGGCACGCTTTCTGATCCTGAATGTCTGGATGGAGACTGGACCTCTGCTGGCTTTCCTTCAGTTGTCCTGCTACTAGAGTCATTACTGTGGTGGATCATCGCAGGAGGAGTAGGTCCACGCATCCTAACAGGTTTCTGTGTCCTGGGATCCACACCAATATCCACAGTGATGTTTGTGTACAATGGTTCCAGTTCTTTAGACAATAATTTGTAAGCAAGGGAATTCATCCCATCCTGAGTCCACATCCTCTGAGTCCTTATGAGGAGATCAAACCTATTTTAGACATTAAAAAAAAAAAAAAAAAGGGAGAGATTTAGGATTACTTAGAACAGGTGGAGAAAAAAAACAAAACAAAACACAAAACTGTATATGATGTGCCCATTGTCCTAATGAATGGAAATTATACATTACAAATCCATGCAGTTGGGTAGTGCTAATATCTGAGATATGCATGATCCAGTCTGCCTAAGATTAGTGGGAACTACACTGCTGAATAGCACCTGCTGCCAATTATAATGAAACTGCAACTCCCACTCACTGCTGGAAACAATGGGATCATGTATGTCCCAAACAACATCACTAAACATTAACGGAACCCTCTGTAGCTGCTGTAGCTTAAAGGACCACTATAGTGCCAGGAAAACATACTCGTTTTCCTGGCACTATAGTGCCCTGAGGGTGCCCCCACCCTCAGGGTCCCACTCCCGCCCAGCTCTGGAAGGGGGAAAGGGGTTAAAACTTACCTTTTTCCAGCGCTGGGCGGAGCTCCTCCTCCTCTCGCCTCCTTGCCCGCCCGGCTGAATACGCCGCGCGGCAAGAGCTGCGGCGCATTCAGCGGTCATAGAAAGCATTTACAGCTTTCCTATGGACGCTGCGTGCTCTCACTGTGAAAATCACAGTGAGAAACGCAAGCTAGTGGCTGTCAATGAGACAGCCACTAGAGGATTAGGGGGAAGGCTTAACCCATTCATAATTATAGCAGTTTCTCTGAAACTGCTATAATTATAAAAAAAAATGGGTTAACCCTAGAAGGACCTGGCATCCAGACCACTTCATTAAGCTGAAGTGGTCTGGGTGCCTAGAGTGGTCCTTTAAGTAGTCAAGCCATTTTAGAACAGCTTATCAACTTGGGTACTGTCCAGCACCTGTACCCTCTACTTCTGGACAATCCTTCCTGGAAAATCCAGTTCGCTCCACTGAGATAACTTTTGCTGTACTCGCTGACAGAGCGTGAGCTGATCACTCTCTGCGAATGAGCGTGACACGGTATAATGCCAAGCTAAAGGGGGCACTATAGACATCACAACAACTGTAGCTTAGTGAAGTAGTTTTGGTGTATAGATCATCCCCCTGCAGTCTCACTCATCAATTCTCTGCCATTTAAGAGAGTCAGCTCACTTTGTTTATGGACCCTAGGCACACCTCCCTAAATGTGACATGCACCGCCTTCCTAACACTTCCTGTGATGTGTCATCTAATGTTTACACTTCCTTTATTGCAAATTATGTTTAAATTTAGAATTCCTTATATTCTGCTCTGTTAATAGCTTGCTACAGCCTGCAAAAGCCTCCTGTACATAAATAAAGCTTAATTTACAGCACAGGAGATAAAAACCTCTAAAGCTGATTGAAAATTAAACAATTTTTTTCATGCAGGCTGTGTGAGTCACAGCGAACTGGGGGGGAGCAAGGAAGGGGGGGTAAAGCCAGAGCTGCATAAGCAGAAACATAAACAGCCAGGAAGCGCCTCCAGTGCCTGTCTGGAAAATATCCACTAGAGACAGACTTACTGCGGCATTGTGAACATTGCCGCACTAGGTGCAATAGGGACACTGCACCCAGACCACTTCAGCAAGTGGAAGTGGTCTGGGTGCCTTCAGTTTCCATTTAAAGGAGAAGAGTGTACTTGGGGGTATAATGCTATATTGGGGTTCTGGAAAAACATTTATAAAAATAAAAATGACAAACAAAATCATTTTGTTTTAGTATTTGAGAGTTTGTGCTTTTAATGTGTATTCTTTTTCTGAAAAAACTTTTATAAAAACACATTTCTAGATTGACAAAATCAGGAAATAATCACAGCATAAAAACAAACAATAAAAAGTTTATTCTTCACTTATTGCTTTCAAAGCAGAGGATCTGGCACCTCTCCTAAATTAAAATCCTTCTTCCAGAAACTCCTTTGTTTCTTATAGCCTTCAGGCCATTTCATTGTACAGCCTACAACTCTTGCCTGACCAGTATTCCACCAATCTCTAGACTCACCCATGCCATGATAGAACTGATAGGAATGATCTGAGCCTCACCTGCGTTTCCGGAAATACAGTTCTACACCACCCAAAACTAGAAAAAAAAAAAAAAAAAAAAAATCTACATCCTGTTTTTCTAGTAGGACGAGAGCCACATATCCCTACCTACATAGAAAACCAGAATGGCCAAATAACCTAATTCACACTTTGCCTACCCATCATCTCATTATCCAATATTCTTCAGAATGGCCAGGGGCACAACTTGAATTCCAACAGAAAAACCTAAAACTCATCTCTTCAATGCAGAGGGAACATTACCAAGAGATTCTAACCTTCACCTTCCAATGCATCCAAGAGTCATTCTTCAGGTTAAATCAAACGGTTTAATGTCAAGGACAAAGTAGGACGCTAAATATTGCACGTTTCAGTTCATTCATTTCTTATATCAATATATTTCATTCTAAAGTTGATCAAATGTTTTGCAAATTGTGGAAGGTTTCAATAGACCAACATATTATTCAAACATTTATTCAGATCAAAAGGAGCGTCAGCAAAAAGTGTAAAACGTGACTAGTTTACTCACTCATTCTCCTGGCTACTGGACACACTAAAAACCAAACAAACGCTACCTATTATCCAATAAAGACTTAAGCATTTTATTTAAACAGGAACAACAAATTTTCCCATCAACAAAAATAGTAGTAATCAGGTGAGTTGACTCACGTGCCATTGATTAACTGCCCTGGTATTTCACAAAGCGGTAACCCGTGTTTTAGGGTATTCCCTTACGCTTCCTGCCAGGGATTTTACCTGTGTGGGTTTTCCTCATTGCCGTTATCTCCTTTATGTTTTACCATCTTGTAGTGGCCAACGGATATGGGAGGGCGAGAAATCTTCATGCCAGCCAAACGAACCCTGTCCAGTGCCAAAGATCAAAAAAGTCAGAACGAGGTGGGACATTAAAGCCGTGTAATCAGAAAGGGGCGCATTTCAAAAAATCTGCAACCGGACCCTTATCAAAACATGATTTATGGCAGGGGTGCCCAGTAGGTACATCCCCAGATGTGGTAGTACTACAACTCGCACGATGCTTTGTCATTCTAACGTGTTCTAAAAGGCATACAAAGCATCATGGAAGCTGTAGTTTTAAGACATCTGGGGATCTACCTTTTAAGCACCCCTGATTTAAAGGACTATGACTCGCAGTATTGCATGGTCCACATCACAAGCACTTTAGAGTATTGACAGAGTGTGCAAGTGGAGAAAGATTAGCACAAGAATCCAAAATATTCCGAAAGCATATCAGTGAAGTATGGGTGAGGCCTGTGTACCAAAAATAATTGCTGCCACTTTTTATAGAGACCGATTAGCACACAGTATAAAAGGTTTTCTGGAATATGTATGACTAAGCACTAAAACTAGCAATATCTTACATGTTATCAGTAACAGCTACTTAATAATAATAAATAGTTGGCAATTTGTCTTTAAAGTACCTAATTATGAGCTTAATATTTAACTGCACTTCAGAAAATCTTTACAGTGTAAATATGAGCTCCGAAAACTAGAGGCCACGACTTTAACATTTATACACACACACACACACACACACACACACACACACACTTAAACTCTTAATGGAACATCTCAATGAAGTTGTCTGAGTGCAGTGGACCCGTCATTTTATCACTACAATTTATAACGGCAAAGTTTAAATTGCAGGGTTAAAAGCCATATCTAGTGGCGGTCATAATGACAGCCTGAAAGTGTACGGCGCTTGGAACACATGCGCATTAGGTCCTCAATGCTCCTCTATAAGGATCACTGGATTGGACCAAAGCAGAGGAGGCCATGCCTCCTCGATGACAATGCGGGAGGTGGAGAGGTGAGCAGTGCACACCAAGCCTTGTCCTGGAAAAAGGTAAGCAAGTCATTTATTTGATCAATTTACAAGGCAAAACAGTTAGCTGCAGTGTTTTCATTCCCAATGTTATGGTGTTTAACATCCCAGTGCATGACATTGGTGTAAATTATTTTTTTGTGTGTGTGAAATAGCACCCAACATTTGAAACATAACTCACCGATAATGCCCTGTCCTCTTTTAGCCATCACCCATAATGCCCTGCTAGAAGCTACAACTCACCCTGAAGATTTATAAGTCATAGAACGTCCATATGTAACCTTACCTGCAGCGTGTTGGCTGACTTAAAACTAATAAATAAAAAATAAATAAGAAAAACCACCACCAAAACTCTGGGGAGAAGGGATGAAGTGAAAACAACACCATTCCAAATGAACAGAAGTAAAGCATGCAGGTCCAAATGTAAGGAATGAGAGCATGGAAAAAGAAAAAATAATGATGAAATGACAGATACAGACAGCGATTTCAGCCAAGTAACAGCTTGCAAAACAATTTCCTGAACTTTTATTTATATCTGTAAAAGTTCCTGTAAGCAGATATAGTTACGCAAACCTGTTGATACCATCTGCTGCACCTTAGCTCGAACTAAAGTTACAGAATAATCAAGATATATTTAAAGGGGATGGGTTGAAATTCACTTGAGTTAACCCTTTTCTTTTAAAAAGCATTAAGATTTGGCAACCGGCATTACAATGGCCCTACACAGTTCAACCTGGACACAGGGCACACACTGCATTAGAAAAGAAACAAAATGACTGACAACAGACAAAACTGGGGCACTCTGTTCCAGAATATAGATAAATACAGCAGTATGGATTCATACATTTAAATTGTCTTTTTACCATCACAAAATTATTATAATTTTTTTTTAAATTAAATATAGGCAATAAGTAAACATCATATTCCTAATTCTGGGAAGGGACAGTCCTACTTTAAATTTTGTTATTCCATTCAACGGTTGTTAATAGATATTAATCAGAACTGGGGCAAAAAAAAAAAAAAAAAGTTTATACAGTAGTTTGAACGTATTTACGTAGGACAATAACAAAATAAATAATAAAAGGACTCACCTGGTGGCAATATCATCATCCTCTCCACCCCAGCCCCAATATTCATTTGGAAACCCATTCATCTTCATGTACTGGTCTGGGGTAAGG